ATTGATATAGCTTGCTGATTCAAAATTAGGGTTTTTATGGTACCTCATTGTACACCATTATATCTATCTATCTATCTATCTATCTATCTATCTATCTATCTATCTATCTATCTATCTATCTATCTATCTATCTATCTATCTATCTATCTATCTATCTACCTATCTATCTATCTATCTATCTATCTATCTATCTATATATATATATATATATATATATATATATATATACATAGTTGAAAGCATGAGTCAATTGAAGCTAGACCATCAAGGAAAACCTGGAATCACTGGACGGCCGTTTCGTCTTATTGCGGGACTCCTGAACAATGCGCATCCACTCGGGTAGGTCCTGGGTTCGAGTCTCGCGGGGCGAGATCGTGGATGCACACTGTTGAGGAGTCCCACAATAAGAAGAAACGGTCGTCCAGTGCTTCCAGGTTTTCCTTGGTGGTCTAGCTTCAAATGACTCATACTTTCAACTATGAAAATACTGAAATCTCCACAAAACCCCTTCTGATAATATATATGGAGTGAATTGACTAAAAATGGGACAGACTGAATTATTTAATTATCGGATAAATTAACATATGTTTTAAGAATATGTATGTATACCCTAATTCGATAAGGTAATTGTCGAATTCACCAACATTATGACAGATACAATAATACTAATAATAATAATGATTAAAGAACAAAATGGCTTTAAATTATTAAGTTCCGGATTAGTAAAAATGGAAAAAATTGTCAGTGACAAACTACAGACAGGGAAGATAATAAATAATAATAACAACATAACGACAAGTTATTATCAGTAAAGTAGATTAAAGAGTTGAATTATGAAAAAATTATTAGGATTTACGCAGTTCATAAATAAGAAAAATTGTTTACTAGAAGTTAGTTTTGAAAGAAAATCGCCAGAATTCCAGTGGGAAGCCGTGATAAATAATGTTCAATTATGTCTAATTTGAGGCAGTCATTTACCAATGAAGTTCGAAGTTGGTTGTACAGTATCGCAATTTGATTGAATTTAGAAGTGTAAACCGTTGAGCCTCGTCACAGAGGTATAAATTTCGAACGCTTACCATGAGTTATGGAGGTGTTGGGTTCGGTCGCTAGTTGATTTTTTAGAGATGCGCTACCGGATAATCACGTATTGGAATGAAACAATTGCCCAGCGCTTGCTGATTTTCAATAACAGTCTGTATTGCCAACTATGAATCCTGCTTAGTTCCAATGTTTGGTGGTTTGATATATAAGTGTGTAGTAATCTGATTACTATCTACATAGAACAAATCATAGATACTTACAATATTCTTATTATTCTGAAAACCACTAATTACCAAATCATTAAACTGTAGTAATAAAAAAATTAGTTAAATATTTGACCGAGACACATTGATACGTAGTTAACTACGGTCATTAAGGAACATAGATTTCTTACAGTTCGAAGGTGTATCTTGCTAATGAGCACCAACATTAGAACGACATATTCATTAAAGACAGTTGCTTACAACTGTTTAACATCTAAATTATGTAAATGTCTATAAGGTCATACATAAATAAATACAGCTAACAAAAATGATATCGGCAAGAAAAAAATTTCCATCTGTGAAAAATTGCCACTTTTTTAAACCATATATATGCTTTGAGTTCTACTTTTAACCATAACTTTATTACATGTTTTTTCATAGTTGAAAGCATGAGTCGATTAAAGCTAGACCACCAGGTTTTCCTTGGTGGTCACTAACTTCTAGTCTAAGTCAGGTTGGTAGATGAAGACTATTTGGTTGGGGTCCGTGTGACTATCGTAACCAATGGTTGGAGACTCTGGATGACATGGCTCAGAATCGATCACAATGACGTATGTGTATACACTCTTTATCTTCCCTTAAACCTTGAGATTGAGATTGCTTCATATCTGCCTTCCTTCCTATACTATATCTTTATATACAAAGATATAGAGATTGGGTTGCATCGACACCTGAACTAATGATAGGGAGTGAAGTAGTTAAGTGTGTAGACCACTTCACTTATCTTGGGAGTCTCATCAGCCCTTGTGGTCTGGTATGTGACGAAATCTCAGCACGGATACAGAAGGCTCGTCTAGCTTTCGCCAACTTGCGTCATTTATGGAGTAGGCGAGATATCAGTCTAGCAACAAAAGGACGGGTTTATTGTGCAGCAGTCCGTTCCGTCCTACTTTATGGCATCGAAACATGGCCGATAAGAGTAGAGGATATTCGTAGGCTACTAGTATTCGATCATATGTGTCTTCGACGCATTGCTCGTATATTCTGGGACCACCGGGTAAGTAATGCAGATGTTAGGAAACGGGTACTAGGTAAGGATGGCAAATCGATATATGAAGTAGTAAAACTTCATCAGTTGAGATGGCTGGGACATGTGTTACGTATGCCCAACCACCGACTGCCCCGACGTGCAATGCTTTATGGTGTAGGAGTAGATTGGAAGAAAGCTAGGGGCGGCCAGACCAAAACATGGCATAAATCCATGAAGTCGCTGACAAGTGGACTGAGCCATGCTGGTAGGTGTAGATTACCTGGTTGGGATTCGCGAGATGATAGCAACCGATGGTTAAAGACCTTGAATGACATGGCTCAAAATCGTTTGCAATGGCGAAGATGCATACACTATTTGTGTTCTACCGAATTCTGCTCTACTGAATTCTTCATGTCCGTATCCTTTTTCTTTTTCCAAATTTATTTCACTGCATTATACTCCTTCAACAACATCTTCAAACCCTTATCTTTCACATAATACTTATACTCTTACTACTTCTACCAATATGGGATTTGAATCGACAACTTCATCTCTGTGTTAAAGTGGTATGACAACTCGAACTGATGTACGTACGTACGAAGTTCTACGTTGTAACTGACTGGCTGACTCTTTATATACAACCTTTCTTTTATATACTACCACCACTAAATTAACTACTTCTATGAATCCGGTGTTCATCTTGTTGTGCTAACAAAGTATGGCAACTTGGACAGATGTATATATGTGCCTGGTCCTACGTTGTAACTGACCGACTGACTGAATCCACAATTATTTCATAAAATGTACACAAATTGTTTCAGTGTATAAAATACGTAAAAACATAATTCGATCTCAATGAAAGACAGATAGTGCAACAAGTATGAAATTCATCAAAAGAAACAATAAAAGCACAGAATATTAAAAGAAGACCATGACAACTATAAATTGTGAAATGATCAGTGATAGTGTATAGTAATGAAAATTAAATGAAACAAACAACAGTGTTATAATGGAAATAGAAATTTTTCAATCTGAAGTGAATTTATTTACGTCTGGTGAAATGAATTTCAGAAGTGGTTTTGTGGAGATTTTAGTAATTTTATATGGTTAAAATGATGAGACAATTGAAGCTAGACCGGTTAAGTGTTCTGGTGCGAGACTGGCAGATCCTGGGTTCGAATCTCGCGGGTGCGGGATCGTAGATGCGCACTGCTGAGGAGTCCCATAATAGGACGAAACGGCCGTCCACTGCTTCCAGGTTTTCGATGGTGGTCTACCTTCAATTGACTTATGATTTCAACTATGAAAATGAATTTCATCAATGAAAACTATTTAAATCTCAAGAAGATTGTGAATTTGCATCATCAATAGTACTTATTGAAGTCAGTTAGTCGTAAGTAACAAAGGGCCTGATATGTATATATATTTGTGGATCGATTCAAGTTGTTACATTATATCAGTACAACAAGCTGAAATAGTAGATTCAGTGACAGTAGATATATAGAGAAAGAATAATTTAAGGGTAATGAATCAATTAGCATAACGGAAGGTACAAAATAATTTTGAAATTCAAGATGTAAGATAAAATAAAAAGTGAATGCATCTGTGCCATTGTGACCAATACTGAGCCTTGTCAAACATTATCATTTAGGATGATGTGGGGATCGAACCAAATGGTTTTTACTTACGGACATGACCTAACTTAACAGTGAAAGAATTCCTGATTTAATGCCTCGACTTAGTTTGGCTGCTGACAAGTTACTCCCAGCGTACTACCACTATAACCAACACCAAGCATCGAGATAGGCAGTGGTTGGATGTACAGGATATATATTCTAACCACTTAAGTCGATGAAGATTTTTTATCTTAACAACCGGTTTTTTTAATGTTTACCTAGTGCTTTGAGTATATCCAAAGCTAAAATCCAAAAATTTAAGTCTTCGGAGTGATCAGTTTCCTCATTACAATAGTTAACTATTACTAGTAATGGCTTACATTACTTAATTCAACTACTTTTTGGTAGTACTCTTCTAACATACATTGTCATCAGTTATAACTGTCTTACATCGTCATTCTTAAAACTCACTGTTAATGACTTCTTCCTAGAACTTCAGGAAATGGTCTAGAAGCTAGTCACTAGTAAATACATGGTTATTGTTAACAAAATAAGCTATCAGAGATTGCTAACTACTATAAATTGATTGAAGTTGGATAGAAACTATATAATCTGAAAGATAACACGCTCTCTGATACATCCGAAAGTTCTGAATTCAGTTATTGACATAGTCATGGATACGTACTGTTGAGGAATTATGTAACAAAACAAAACACCTGTCAAATACTCCTTGATTTCCAATAGTTATCTGGATAGAAAAAAGGTTTGTGATGTACATATGACAGCGTTTTGTGTGGATGGGTGCATATTTATATACCATATTTATTTAATCAGGTTTATTGATAAGTCGTAGGAATTCTGTTTGTGCGTTTTTAGTGCTATATATAATTATAAATGTGTATTTATATGTACACACATATTATCAGCCAACACTTACACATCAATAAGACTTGGACTAGAAGGTATAGTAATACTTCGCCAACCTTTACCATATCTACAGGAATAAATCAAATCAACATAGCAACATACTGATAGGTAAACCAAAGATAAAATAAAATGAATGATTATATTTTACTTTATGGATATTTATAAATTCATTGAACTTACGCTCGTTCAATATTCAATCTCTTTAATTGATTCTTTCCGTTAAGGGTAGATTTTGAAAGTGATAAACTTTTTTCATCTACACCATAAGAAATCCGGAAATGAATATAGAAAAAAAAAGAAGCGAATAATCAGACATAAAAAAATTTTAATGTTTAAAGATGAACTGAAAAAATAATTAATACTCGTTCTAAATCAAGTGGATCAGTTGAAGTTAGACATTAACACCATTGGATGCCAGCCGGCTCAGTGGTCTATCGGTTAAGTGTTCGCGCGCGAGACTGGTAGGTACCGGATTCGAATCTCGCGGGTGCGGGATCGTGGATGCGCACTGTTGAGGAGTCCCATAATAAGACGAAACGGCCATCCAGTGCATCCAGGTTTTCCATGGTGGTCTACCTTCAATTGACTCATGATTTCAACCATGAAGTGGTTTTGACAATTTTGTAGAATATAAAGAATTTAATTCTGAAGTTTCTAAGATGATTGCTGAATGAAAGTTTTGGTGAAAAATATCATCATTAGGCTGAAAAGTTTAGAAAATTTACAGAGAAGCACATTTAACTGTAATGTTGACGATGGACAGACAATATAGTCTTATATCAAAGGATGACTTCAATTAGACAATCATTACAAACCAGGAAGTACTGGATATCTGTTTTGTGGCATTATGAGACTGCTTAGAAATTCATTTCAACGAACTAAATGAGAATCTAGCTCAAGACATTCAGATATCTATGAGGCCGCCTAACCTTGATATAATTGAATTGACATCCAGTTACTTGCATTTCTAAATTCATTCAATTTTCAACATTACATAACTCTTATGCTTTGCCACTGATAGTATTTAACTGATGCTTAATATGGTTAACTATAGTGGTAACGATTTTTCTCTAAAATTCCTGTGATTAACTATCTAAGTTAGATCCTAGTAAACACACTACGACTTCTTATCTAAATTCATTTTAAAATGTAAAGCTCTGAAGTTCAATAGTCCTTACACTACACCATACTGAAGAAATTCAACTCTATACTTTTACACTTCATGTCCGGTATAAACAGATAGAAACTAAGATAGTCAATGAGAGTTTCTTGATTGGAGATAATTCAAAGATTCATAGCAAACTCTCTCGTTCGTTTTTTTATATCCGTCAACGTTGTTTACATGTAATAATTAAGATGATATATGTATCCATGATATCAATTCCATAAGAGTTAATCCAATGTAATATTCATTTAACATAACTTGGATTATATGTTTAATACTAATTTAGTGTAAAATTCACTTTACAATCAAAATATTTTCAGTTATTTATGATTTACATAGACTAATTATCAAACATCAGTATAACGGAATGGTTTTAACTAACAACCGGTCAATATGTTCTTACTTACTTACTTACTTTGGAGCATAGGCCGCCGACCAGCTTTCTCCAACCCACTCTGTCCTGGGCCTTCTTTTCTAGTTCTTTCCAGTTCTTGTTCATTCTTCTCATGTCTGTCTCTATTTCTCGGCGTAATGTGTTCTTTGGTCTTCCTCTTCTCCTTCGACCTTCAGGATTCCATGTGAGGGCTTGTCTTGTGACACAATTGGGTGATTTCCTCAAAGTGTGCCCAATCCACTTCCAGCGCTTCTTCCTGACCTCTTCCTCCGCTGGAATCTGGTTTGTTGTCTCCCACAGTAACTTGTTGCTGATAGTGTCTGGCCATCGGATCCGAAGTATCTTGCATAGACAACTGTTAATAAACACCTGTATCTTCTGATTGATGGCTTTCGTAGTTTTACACTTCTCTGCCTCATACAGTAGAACTGTCTTGACATTTGTATTGAAATTTCTGATCTTGGTGTTGGTTGACAATTGTTTTGAGTTCCAGATGTTCTTCAGTTGTAGATATGTTGCTCTTGCCTTGCCGATCCTCGCCCTCACATCTTCATCTGATCCACCTTGTTCATCAATGATGCTGCCTAGATATGAAACGGTTTCCACATTCTCCAAAGCTTCTCCGTCAAGTGTAATTCGATTGGTGCATGTTGTACTTTATTGGAGAGTCTTGCTTTTCCCTTTGTTCATATTGAGACCTACTGCTGCTGAGGCTGCTGCTACACTGGTCGTTTTCTCCTGCATTTGTTGTTGCGTTTGTGATAGAAGAGCCAGATCATCCGCGAAGTCTAAATCGTCAAGCTGCATCTTGCCTGTCCACTGTATCCCGTGCATTCCTCCAGATGTTGACGTCTTCATAATCCAGTCGATCACCAGGAGAAAGAGAAAGGGTGAGAGTAGGCAACCTTGCCTAACACCGGTCTTTACCTCGAACGAGTTTTTAGATGAATAAAATTTACATTTGCCATAAGTTTTATCTTCTTCTGTGTATCATGTAAATCTTAGTCTCTTCTGAATTCACATGGTGTTGTTTACTTGTATTTTCTCATTGTTAATTAGGACTGTAATTGATAAGTTTCTTCTTGGCATATATGCATTCTGTGCGGACTGCCTCAATATTGCCTGAATTTAGAAGCTTTATAAGCAGGTGCTTATCAGGACTCAGTAGCCAAGTGGATAACGCGATGGCGTCTGAAGCGAACGATACTGGGTTCGAGCCCCAGAGTGGACATCAAATGTGAGATGCAGGTACATCCACCCGACGAGTCTCAAACGGGACGAAACGCGCGTTCTGGATTCCACTGCTAATCACCATCCATCTTTGCTTATAAAGCTTTTTAGTCTCTTCTTCTTCTTCAAATGTCAGTTAACCGCACATATATATATATATATATATATATCATTATTATTTAAAAAGTGTCATAAGTATATACTATTTAAGAATAATTAATCAACAAAAGGACGAAATATCTGCTCAATATTCCTTGTTCCTCTTTTTAATTATTCTCCAATATAGATTGTTCTGCTATAAATACTGTCATTAGTTTATTTCGCTATTTACTGTTTCTGTGAAACCAACTCATTTGTACACTATCTTTTAGGATTTGAACCTTAACTATGCCTTCTCCAAAGTCTCAATCAGAAACATCATTATTGACCTATTCAAGCACCTAATTTTGAAAATAAGCACTCTTTAAAACCTTTTTACAGAATGGAATAAAAATTCACTATGCAGGAAAATGCTTTTGCTTACCCTTTAAAATATTTGTCGAATTGTTTACCGTCTTCATATGATGTTGTTGATCAGAAGGAGAAGAGGAGGCCTGAATTGGTTAATTTTTGTCAGGAAAAAATCACAAATACTATGTCAGTATAATGTAAAATATGAATTACAGGGGAAATTTTAAAGGATATAGAAAAATGCACATTTTTTTAGGTTTATATACTTCTACTTCACATGAATATCGTTATAAGTGGTCTAAGGATATGTTTAGAATCGATCACAATCGCATAGACGCACTGATTGTTTGGTTATTCCACTGGATCTTAAATTATCAAGCTATCTTACTCTGTTTTTGAATCATTATATTGGTAATCCCTAGCGTTCTCTACTACTACTGATATTGTTACTACCTCCACTATCCTCATTTGGCTTGATAATTTTATCTCATTTTATCAATATGCTGCGGCAACTTGGACCAGTGAATATGTGTGCCACGTGCTTCATTGTTTATGACTGACTAATTGATAGTAAAGTAAATGATTCAGAGTTGTAATCCAGAAACCAGCGCCTGAAAGTCATCGATTTCGATTCATTTAGTCGACTTCATAAGTCCAACGATGAGTTTGTATAATATGCTACACGTTTTACTTTCCCATGTAAAAGACTTATAATACTAACTAGTTATTCAAAATTGAATAGTTTGATAAATTAATGCTATAAATAAATAATTAGTAACACTAAAAAAAGAACACATTTGAAGAATCAGTACATTTCCAAATGAAAATGATTTATTGAAAAAAATATACGTAAAAAGCAACTACAGTAAATCAGAAAAATATGTTTACGAATCAGAGAATTTTTTTCGACTATTCAGCATGTTCTCATGTACAGTTAGTACAGTGATTGATTGATTTTATCTTGTGACTTGAAATGACATGGTGTCACTAATTGAACAGTAGTTAGATCAGAATAATAATCATCATTTATAAATTGTGCATAGATGATTGAAAGCACAGTGAAGAAAGAAACATTGGATATATTCTTCAAACTACATCGTATCGGAGGTATATGTAATAAAATTAGGTGAGAGATTTTAGTAAAGTATCATATAAGTGATCTGTGTTGTTGTAGTTGATTAAGAAAATACAAACTGGCAAAACAACTCGATATAATTAATATAAATTCAAATCCTACTACTAGCACTTCTAATAATACTGCCCTATAAAAAACTACTACTTCTTCTGTTACTGCTACTATTAATATTAACACTACTAACAATACTAGTACCATTACTACTGATACTAACACTAATACTAATACTGCTACAACTAGTAATAAATCTGTTAATATTAATATAACTAGTACTACCAATATATTATCACTATAGCTAGTGCCACTACTACTACTGCTACTACTACTGCTCTCACTATTACTACTACCACTACTACTATTACTACCACTACTACTATTACTACCACTAGTACTACTACTACTCTCACTACTACTACTGCTACTACTACTGCTCTCACTATTACTACTACCACTACTACTATTACTACCACTACTACTATTACTACCACTAGTACTACTACTACTCTCACTACTACTACTGCTACTACTACTAATACTCGGATAACTACTAAGCAGATTCTGTGATAATTTGATTCAGAGAAACAAGAAAAAATAACAAACAGAGGTTAGTTGGTACAAAATAATGAATGGTGAAAAAAAATCATACGAATGTATGAGCTGTTGTAATTGACAATTAGTCATGTTGATCACAAACTCTATACGTTACTTTCCGTTACTAGTAATCCACTCCTAATTATTGTAAAAGCATTATCTACTAAATAAATGTGCACAAGTTGGGTTATCGCATGATGAGTAAACAACACTATTTAGCTATCTGGATCTAAGTAAAACAGGGTTAATAAATGTAAAATTTAGCGCACGATTCAATTATGTATCATTTACTGATTGATGATTTTATACAGCAAGATAAGAACATTTATATATCTGGGATAAAACGTTTACTGAATATTAGGTCAATATAAATACATTTTTCAACTATCTTAAGTAATTAAGTTAAGAAGATTCTAGTTTCAATCCGAATTGAGGTTGTAGACAAGCAATACTGAGGCGTTCTGTAATAGGACAAGATAAATGTGCAATTTTTATGAGGAAAGATGGATAGTAGCTAGTAGTGGAATCCAGGACGCGCAGGCCGTCCTATTTGGGACTCATTAGCTGGATTTACCTGCATGTGAGTTGATGTTCACTCTAGGACTCGAACCCAATACCTTTCTCTTCAAACGCCATTTTTTTCTTGTTTTTAATTTATCATCAGTTTACCAAGTCCTTTCTATATACTCAAGTATACTGAAAGATATGTTGTTAAGTAATTTAGCTAAGTGAATTTATTGAAGAAATTCTGTTAAATTGTAAATACATAGTAGATTCGGTCAAAAGTTTGTCGATGTTAAAACAATCTTTTGTAGGTACGCACATATTTGAACAAAGCTTATGTTATCAGATCTGTAGAAGGAAGCTTAATATGAAGCCTTATAATTTGTTGTAATGATCAATTTAGTGGGGCCAATAACATCATTCAACTATTACTCAAACACATACAATCTCCTGATAAGTTCTTAGAGTTTTTTTGTGAATATAAAGACTGACATACATTTACGCCTAAATGACTAGTCTAAAACCGAATGAAATCCGCGCCCGGATTTCCATTGTTATCCACATATCAAACATATTAAATTGCAATTCATTTAAAAATCAACAAGATTAATTATCCATCAAAGTATATAAATAAACATGAAAAATAAACAAACAAAATTGCACTTTGTTTACATTAGATAAATTTGATTTATTTCTTGATGTGTACAAATGGGTATCCTGTACAGTTGTACATCTTCCTGAAGATGGTGAATCACATTCACCCGATGAATTGAATAAATTAACACTTCCATTTAACTGGCAATCTGCTGATGTTTGTCCACCATCAATAAAGTTATTTCTTGTGTACGGATACCATTGAAGTTGTGTTGGTGATCGTGTACGTGAATTATTGTAAATATGTTGATGATAACTACTACCATACTGTGGTGGAAGTAGATTTATTCTACCTGATTCTTGTATGCTACTGTTGAAAATATCAGCTGGTGGAGATTTCATACTATATCGATTTTGTGCTAACCAACGTCGACTAGTAATTGGATTGACGATGTTATTACTACTACTAGTAGTATTGATATTAGTAGTTGTAGTAACAGGCTGCATAACTCTTGAATAGCATAATTCATTAAGACTAGCAGATTTAAATTGATCAGAATTTAAGTGAGCGTAATTTTCACCAAGAAATGAAAGTTTATTATGATTTATTTGTTCGTATGGTATATAAGCATCATATCTGTACGGTTTATCATTAATTAAACGTGATGTCGGTGGGGTCGACTGAGTACCAGTAAGTGATTGATTAATGAAATTCAAATTATACTCAGGCTGATTAGGTGTAGTGATGAATGAACAACTATTATCAAATGTAACTAAAAATTAAAGTAAAAAAGTGAGGAAAAGTGTAAAACATTAATTTTATCTTTAACTAAAAGACTATACTATAATATTAATAGTTGAGTTCATGAGTCAGCTGAAGCTAGAGCACCATAGAAAACCTGGAAGCACTGTACGGCCGTTTCGTCCTACTGTGAGACTCATCAGTAGTGCGCATCCACGGTCCTGCCTCGCGACATCCGAACCCAGGACCTATCGGTCTCACACTCGAACACTAAACCTCTTGACCACTATACTATAAATTAACTGTTATGTAAATAAATATTACAGTTCTCGATCCAATAAATAGACATCGCAACTAAAGTGCTTGTTCAAAAACTAGAAGTAAGTCTCAATAAAATCAAAAAATAATAAAGATTGATTCAGTGAAGAATTCTGTCTTAGTAAAATTTATTTCAAAGCTGTACAATTCCGAATACATACATACATCTTTCAAAATGATAATAACTGTAATAGTAGCGATATTGAAAACTCGCTAAACATGGTAATGTGAAGTGAATTATCTTCTACAGACAATTAATGACTGCCGCTTGACAATAAATTTTTCACTAGATATTGAAAACAAACAAAGTATTTACTTTCTCAATGTCGAAACGACAAAAATGATGGAGCACTAATCAGACCTGTCAACAGGAAATCATTGTGAAATGACCACCTACTAAGCTTTCACAGCCGAGACCCTATTAATCGGAAGTGGAATTTACTTATATTTGTCACTATATAAATACGAAGAATTTGTAATCCCGAGATAACAAATAACGAACTTGAACCTCTTAAAAATTACTGATCAAAAACGGGTGTCTATTGGTATTTATTGACAAGAACATAAAACTGAAACCTCCTTAAGCCCAAATAACCTCCATACCAAAGAAAGCTCTTTATATGAATGTTGATATCAAAAGTGATATAGACATGGATATTCTGAAGAGGAGAAGTTCTGACAACATCTTCTAACATGGACATAATCTCTCGAAACATTTTCTTCTTGTCTCACATCCATCTGCCTTCCTTCTCTCCTCTTTTATACAGACCTTTCAAGCTCACTGATTTGTTTCTGTTTCTATGATCCTCCTGATTACAGTTCATTTCAATTTCGAAATTTTATTTGTACACACTGAGCCTCCCCTTTCTGAGTTTAACCTTCTTTCTATCTTCATAATAAATATTTAAGGTATCAACAACTGTACTATTTTCATAGTTGAAAGCGTGAATCAGTTGAAGCTAGACCACCATCGAAAACTTGGAATCATTGGATGGCCGTTTCGTCATACTATGGGACTCCTCAGCAGTGAGCGACCATGATCCCGCACTCGCGAGATTCGAACCCAGGGCCTACTAGTCTCGAGTCAGAGCCCCTAACCGATAGACCACTGAGCTGGCCGGCATCCAACGGTGTTAATGTCTAATTTCAACTGATCCACTAAGTTGAGCAACCGTTTACTGTTCATAATAGGACGAAAAGGCCATCCAATGCTTCCAGGTTTTCCATGGTGGTCTAGCTTCAATTGACTCACGCTTTCAAATATGAAAATACTAAGTCTCCACGAAACCCCTTCTGATAACTGCACTATTATTAATTTCCTTAAATTTTATGCTTTAATTTGTTTCATTGCACTGTTACCATGTTTAGCAAAATTTTAATACCCCAATTATTTTCATTATGATCACTTGTGAAAATAAGTATAGACTTATTTGCAATTGCACAGCTGTGAAAATGAATTTCCCGGAAAAAGCTATTTACTGAACCAATCCTTTTTTATTTTATGTCTCAATAGATATATTCTGTTTTATTCAAGAACTGTTAAAAACGATTATACAGAGGTTATATTAAAGTAAAGAGATTTTTTTCCAAGTCGTTTTTGTGTTACGGTGAGCATCCTAAACGGCTAGAAGTAACATAATAGACCAGTGCAAAAGTCAACACGATATGTTAATGAGAACATCAATTGTGTGACGGTATCATATGTTTCTCAGTTGCTGATATACAATTTATTGAACATTCTATCTGAGTTTCATTTTATTTGGAACTTTTCAAATAAATTTTTCTCGAGGAAAATAGATGGATAGTGGTTAGCAGTGAAATCCAGGACAGACGTTTCGTCCTATTTGGGACTCGTCAGTTGGATATACCTGCATCTCAGACTGGATGTTCACTCTGGGACTCGAACCCAGTACTTTCCACCTCAAACGCCATCGCGTTATCCACTTAGCTACTGAGTCCTGATAGCCACTTGCATGTGCAATTGGGTGAAGTTTAAATTCACATGGTGTTGTTTACTTGTATCTTCCCATTGTTATCTAGGACTGCAAATGATCAGTCTCTTGTTAACATATGTGCATCCTGTGCGGAGTGCCTCAATATTGCCTGAAGTCACGAGTGACTGATCAATTGCAGTCCTAAATAACAATGGGAAGATACAAGTAAACAACACCATGTGAGTTTATAAATGTGAAATGCTCCAAGTTTCAGTTTTACGAAAATTATCAATAATGACAATGCACAATGAGGTCAAAGTCATCTTATTTCTTCAACATTAGACTTCAACAAAATGATCTAACTCGATCCAGTGATATGAATAACATTATTGTGACATCAAGGAATCTCACAATAAAATCTTGATCAAAAGAACATAAGTTTGCAGTTTATCATAGTAATGAATTCATCCAGAAACAAATATTTTTTTAAACACAATCTAATCAATATGACTGTAGAAAAAGTGCTCATACATATCTAGAATAGTCTAATCATGTAAGTAATACTAGGTAAGAATGTACGTTTTGTCTCATATCTTTATAAATACAAGACAATAATCATTTGAGTTGGTGGAATGTTATAAACAGTTTATATCTTTTCACTTGTTGATTATCAAGAATAAGTTAGGTGAGAGTGAGAATACATTGTGTAGTTTCTGAATATTCACTTTTGTGGTTCATTAAATATTCAATCATTAGAATAATACAAAAAAAAACATTATAGACTAGACAAACAAAAATCATCAGTTACTAATGAATGATCCATCAATTTTAAATACCTCAATTCAGCAAAAAGCCGGTCAGGGGTCTGAAAAGCTCGATAATAATGTCTTTAGCTATAATGATAAGTGATACATATTTGAATATATCGGAAACCACCGATTTCATCAATTCTACATATACTCCTTGATGATTAGTGTTAGTTATCGTCAGATCTCAACCCAACATTATGAATAAAATAGGTACAAAGTGGAAGTCTTATGAATTATGAAATGGTTGAGGTTGTGTTAACCTTTTTCTGCCAAGCATTACACTTATAGATGGTGTTACATACTACATATATCGAATGATATACGTAGTATACACGACAGAGATATGGAGTGACGTTTGATTACTAATTGACGTTCATACAGAAGAATATGAAGAGAAAAGTCTGTTTATCCAATATAACACTTTATTAAAGTTATTAGTCATTTGAGGAGAAATTCTGGTATTTCACTTCTATCCGAAGTTTGTGCTAGTGATAACTTTACCTAAATTGACAATGAAAACTTCATGATTGAACTATTCATTTTGAAGAACTTGATTTCAATAGAATTATTCTCTTCAGGTAGAAAATCTTTCCCGGTATCTCATTAATCATCAATCTAGTCTCAATACTGTACAGTTAATAGTTTCCTGATCGTTTTAATTCCAAAACACCAGTAAGAGTTGCATAACTTAAACATAAAAAAAAGCGAGAGACTAGAGAAAAAGGGTTTATTTATTTCATTACAAAGTAACAATTGGAAGAACAGAATGTAACCAAACAATGAATAATTGAAGAAAACGAAAGGAAGCAAATCTTTAGAAACAAAAGACAAATATTTAGCTTGGCATTTTAGTGATTATTGTACATTCATACATACTTACATATACATCTATAGTTAAATGTCTGTACATACATTAATGTACAACCCAAATGATAGAAAACACAATATATCGAATTTTATAAACTCCTGCTGATTACTGATTTAAACGATCTAATCTAAGCTGTTTACCTGCATGTTGAAATGGCACAATATAATGGTTATGAATGCATATACAAGAATAACACAAGTAGCCTATATACAATAATAATAGTATGACAATGACAATAGTAATAATAATTTCAAAAGTTAGCCAACCATTGTTCAAATGTAGATCATTTCTCGGTGTGTGTGTACAGTTTGACAAGAGATAATATGAGATAATAGGGAAGTAAATTGAATAATAATTACACTGAATAACAAAAGTAACCTATGATGTCATTGAAGAAGAATAAAAAACAATTCAGTGGTGAAAAGTTTCTACTCGACGTTATCATGCACTCAAATTGGACAATGGTATTGATAAGTAATTTAAAAATTTAATTTAATATTTAAAAATAGAATGAAAATTACATCATATCATGTGTAAAAAAAGGGTTCCTGATAGTCCAAAATTGAAGGGAGATAACAAAATTAAACTAAATATGAAAAGAATAATTATCCACTTGATGAGTGCGAAAAGGTTGAATAATTAACTTGACAAGTGAAGATAATGATAACTAATCATTTCAGTGCTTCCAGCTTTTCAATGTCGGTCTAGCTTAGATCAACTCGTGAATTCGTCTGCGAGCACTTCTACAGTGCATTAGTTATTAATATGTGCTCCATTCGAACCTAATTTTGTGACTCGATAGATTATTTTATCAGGTGAGGCAAGATGTTCTAATAATGATCTGATTAATTTACATTTACGTTCCGGAAGACACGCAGGATAATGTTCAGAGACGCGTTTAAAAAGTGCTCGCTTTGTATGACCTATATAACCTGCTCCACAAGTGTAAATGAACTTATAAATAAATATCAACTGGTCTCAGATAAAAGTTTTCTTTGACAAATCCATGAATAATGGGATAGCCAGAAAGAATTATGCAAACCTTGCAGGTATAAAAAGTTTTCCTCAGGGATTTTGCTAGATGATTCTTCGAAATTCCTGTAGCACTATCTCCCTTGAGCTCAATGTTCATGTGCAAAGTTTTCTTAGAAACCTCATGACATCTTCTACATTATAACAGCTTTCATGTTTCGCTCAACAAACCTGGGTGGACGACCTTTTTTGAGGAATATCTGTCGGAGTTTAGACAGTTCCTCGTTATTCGTGTCTTCTGAGAACATTCCCCTAGCCCTCATTGGGATTACATTGGCATTAGTAATTGAACTGACAAAGCCGTAATAGTCCAGTGTTCAATATTTGTTGATCTGATTTCAAAAATACTTTAGAATTTCATAGTGTAATGAATTATTCATGTTTAATATGGACCTCAAAGAAATTTCCTTCTCAAGTACTTTTGAAAGGTTGTAGGATTTTGGAACGATGGTTTGAGATATTTCAGAAACTCAACACACAACTGATTCATCTTTTATCATCTTTAGTATTTTTGTAGACTTCTATTCAATTTATTGAGGTGCATCTTTTTGTTTCTTCAAAAAAAACTTGTGGTATCTGATCCTGTGGACGATAATTTTGTAATATGATCATGAAGGTTCGTAACACACCATACTGGTATATATATATATATATATATATATATATATATATATATGTATAAAGATTGCTACTTCACTATCCTAACAACAATTAATGTGATTCGAACTTCTTCCTTATTCATACTTCATGGTTAGTGCCGTAAAAGATATACTTCATTAGCAGGCTAATGTTTAAAATATCCTATTCGAAAACAGATTTGTCTATGGTTGTTCAGTTAAGTGACTAGTTTTATATTCATCCACACGGCCAAACATACGAAAATGTATTTACCTACTGAGTGTTTTTATTATGAAGCGATGGTTTAGCAATCTGAGTACTCCACTTTTAACCATTAAATCACGAAATTTTAACGCTCGAATTGTTTCAATAACCTTAGGTGTTGCTCACAGTTGAGTACATTAACTTGAATTGGTAAATAGGTTACACTTACTGTTAGCAAAGTTGGTTACGTAGATAAATAAACAGAAAAAGCCTATTATGGTATTGTTCAACACAAACAGTTTGATGACCGATACATAAGAACTACTTAATTACGTTTGTTGTACCCCGAAGAGAATTGTGAATGGTAACTTTTGAGGACTATTTATGGACCGATGTTATGTATATTTCCCATTGTATAATTGTTAAGTAATTAACCTAATCATATTCGTGTTCCTCTTTTCATTAGCTTTATTTTGACCTTTGAACTATTATTATCCGATTCTTGAGTTATCATCAGTCTATTGATTACTTTCCCCCTATTCACAACCACATTTGGCCAAATCTTGTACAAATGTTATTTTCTATTCTAGGTTTGTGAATAATGATTCATATTACCGAGGCTGTTATTGGGCTAAGCAGTAAGCAGGACTGATAAGTGCTCAAGACTGCTCATACGATTTTGTGTATCATTGAAAACTGCTCTCTGATTGGGCGTTCATATATTAACAGGGCACGCACACTCAATCGATATATCAACTGGGCAAGAATGTACCCACTCAAGCAATCGATATAACAATGTTGACAGGATCAGTGTGATATTTTTGCTGTATAAATTGAAAACATTTCACGACAAAGAGTATATATATGCATATATAGGTCTATAGTTACTTACCTGGAGTAATAGAACGCCGGAATATGCTTGGATAATTCAACTAGAATAAAAATAAACAGAAACCAAATTAAATTCAGTACAAAAGAATAATCATCTTACATAAATTAACTGACTAGTATTATAAACAACAGTACCAGCAATAAATGCCTTTTGATTTTCAATGGTCGTCTAGATAACGTTATTTTGTGATTTAAACCATGAATGTTCAACAGTCTTCACGAATTCCTCTATATTAATAATGGTCATGTGATTACTAGTGACTAGCTTCGAAATGCAACTTCTGGAATTTTTGTCAGAAGGCGTGATCAATCGAGTTCAACCATGACGAGTATGAAACAATGATCCAACCTAGGGAGTAACCATTGTGATGTTATGTTAGTCCTTAGTGATGAATACATTTAACAGATTAGATTGAAATTTCCCCTCTAGTTTAATGGACACTATTTTTTATATTAGTTTGCTTGAGATAGTCTGAAATAGTAACTGTATTACAAATTGACAAAATCTAACCGATCTAAGTTTCACAGGAGGTTGTAAACAATAGAAATACCTCAGTGTTTACATTTTATACTGTGAAATTGGACGATGTCAGTTTGAATTCCATAACAGGCATCAGTCACCCCAAGGTTGCTAGTAAACGTCTCTAGTGAGTGTCTTCTACATCAAAAAATCGCTACACACTACCACCAATAGGCGGGCTCGACATTCCGACAGGTAGTGAGACACAAACTGTGACAAAGAGAAAAGTGGTATAGTGAGCACACAACTCCAAGAGCGACTTCTTAAGGGAGAGGCCAGTATGGTGTGCGCTACGTATGCGAATAGACAAAAGTAGTATGTAGCTGGAATTAGAATACTTTACGGCAAAAGATTGAAATAAAGAGAAGAGAAATGAAGACAGATAGTAATAGGAATAACAACAGAATTAAAAGAATGGAGAAGTTTGTAAATGATAACCCGAGGAAGATATACAAATGATGTATTTAGTTTATGACTTTCATGTTGTACAAAGGGACTGTGTGGTTTTGCATAAAACAGTAGGTTAATTTTTCTCACCAAGTCTCTGTTTTTTTCCAGCGCTACCTCAGTTCGAGTTTTTTTTCCATACTTGTTAACCCCATGACGTTAATACTTCGTCTGAGAACTTACTATTTATTTCTGTTCTATTTTTATTACCACATGCTTTTAGTATCGTGGTATCCATATATTTCATACTTCACATCATAGTGCTGATGTAGTGTGAAAAACTGAAGACAAAGCACATTTATGCCAGGAGTTATTATCAACTATTCTCGCATGAAATCATTACCCGATGTGCAATTAGTTTTCTTAAACCGTGTCATCTTCATCTAAGACATTTCTATTAGTTGTAGATATAATGAAAATTTTAACGCCAAAAGTCGGTGTGCCAGCTGATCAAATGTTTTATGCTAAGTTCTTAAACATTTATTGAATTCTCCAAATACTCCCTAACTTCAGCTCTGAATGGTAGAGAAAAGGTGCTAAGTAGAACTCGAAGGTCTAATTAATGTACGAAAAATAAAGGGCTTGTTTTAACGGTTGCAAGTGATTTCCAGCTTTTTGAAGCTCATGAAAGCACACCAAATTTAATAACAAAACTAGTATTTATCCACTGAAGCTGTGAAACATAATTTGTAGTTTTCCCAATATATTTCTGAAAAGTTTCTATTCTATACCGGTTGGGTAAGATTTTTTCACGCTTCTCCTTGCTTTAGAAGACTTTGTCAAGGAATTCATGAATGCTATTAGTAAAAGTTGATTCATTGTCCTAAGAAATGTCGGCTTTTCTGAGAAGTAAAAATGTCATATTTGTTTCGTTAAGAGGATCCGCTCAAGTTACTTAAATTTCAACCAATGATAATTAAAATTCAGTCCTCAATATAAACGACAGCATAATTCAAACCAATCCAAATCAAAATAGGGATCAGTTGCTGAGATTTTTCTTTTCTTTTTTAAAGAAATAAAGCAAATCATTAGTGCTCAATGATTCATTTAGTATTGGCCTGATAACAATGAAGTATAATAGAAACAAGTATAAATCATTTGAAACCAGACAAGTTTCCGGTTAAGTAGAAAGATTATAATTGAAAGAAAAAAATTTATTATAGGAACCCAAAATAGTAGGGTGATCGAAATAATTGACATTTAACTTATTTTGAGTTGATTCTCTTCTAAAACAAAAAAGCTATTTCATCTAGTTACTTACCATTTATAAACCGGTATTAGTAGCATTACTATAAATAATACTTGTTATTTCGAATGAATTTATTTTACACAGTGGTATGCTTATAAACATATCTATCTCAAAATAGACAAGTTTTTACTTCATGTAACGCTTGATTTACTACTTTATTATTTTTGTTAATAGGAGAAGTAAACTTCACTGGATAGTTTAAATGATAGTTATTTTATGTAAGCTTATTCTTAATAAATATACATAAAGGCAGTAATTTTTCAGTATTGAGAGTTTATCGAACTTGTCAAAGTTTATAGTTTTTATCATGGCACTTGAAAGTTATTTTTATAGAGCATAAGACTCCTTAGCCGTGAATATTCATGACCATATCAGAGGTCGAAGCCAGAACTTTCATATCTCTTCATGAACACTTAGTTTTTGAACCATTGAGTCAGTATTCGATGATTTACAAGTCCACGTCTAATCACTTCATAATAATATCTAACTATCTTACAGTACTGACAAAACAGCTGTTCAGTGCTTTTTGATTCTCAACAATCTCCATAAACCCTCCAGAGTAAATATTTATTTTAATTTACTAGCAGTTCAGTAATTAAATATACATATATAAACATATATATCGTGGATGCGCATTGCTGAGGAGTCCCATAATAGGATGAAACGGCCGTCCAGTGCTTTCAGGTTTTCCATGGTGGTCTAGCTTCAATTGACTCATGATTTCAACTTTGAAAAATACTGAAATCTCCACAAAACCCCTTCTGAATATAATCATATGCTCACTAGTGACTGACTTCAAGATATATATCCTGGAGTTCTAGTGGGAAGCAGTGACCAGTGGAGTTCAACCAGGTCTGTTGGGAGATATCAACTCACCGATAACATTGGTGAATGGTTGCTCAATTTCGTGGATCGGTTGAAGTTAGACATTAACACCGTTGGATGCCGGCCAGCTCAGTGGTCTATCGGTTAACGGCTCTCGCTCGAGACTGGTAGGTCTTGGGTCCGAATCTCGCGAGTACGGGATCGTGGATACGCACTGCTGAGGAGTCCCATAATAGGATGAAACGGCCGTCCAGTGCTTTCAGGTTTTCCATGGTGGTCTAGCTTCAATTGACTCATGATTTCAACTTTGAAAAATACTGAAATCTCTACAAAACCCCTTCTGAATTAAATATACATTAGAACATTTTGTTCATCAGTGTGAACACTGATGATACTATCAAGTACGTTTCAAGTTTATAATTCAAAAGTTAATAGTCAAGAAATAAACCAAATTTACATTTCACTTATGAACTTATACATCAATCAAAACTTAAATTCATTCAATTGAATATACTAGAATAAGTTTGATATTTTGTACCTATCTAATTCATTTCATATTTCATATCAATCAAAAAACTATCATCGATTATAACAGTTAGTTTGCAAGAAAACAACAACAAAAAATGTAAACTAAACAACCAATATCATGTTTGTGTCTCCTCTGTTATTGTTGTTGTTGGTGTTGTTTTTTTTTTTAAAAAAAAGTCAAAAGACATACCCTGTTTGATTCTCTTGATGATTCATCTGTAAACAAAAATGATAAAAATACAAAAGGAATATTAATCTTAATGTTCAATACTAAGTAAATAAACAATAGATAAGAATCTCATTTCTAAAATATCAAACAATTAAATTCATTTTACACTATATGGTATGTAAGTAGTATATGAATTTGAAAAAACAAAAACATTGAACTCTATACAATAGACAAATTAATATATTCACAAGCATGGTAAACAAAGATGGATAGTGGCTAGCAGTGGAATTCAGGATTTGCGTTTCATCCTATTTGGGACTCGTCAGCTGGATGTATCTGCATCTCAGAGTTGATGTTCACTCTGGGAGGAACTCGAACCCACTCGGCCACTGAGTCCTGATAACCAATTGCTTGTGTGATGGGGTGAAGTTTAAATTCATTTAGTATTGTTTGTTTGAACTTAGGATTCAGTGGCCGAGTGGATAACGCGATGGCGTTCGAAGCGAAAGGTACCGGGTTCGAGTCCCAGAGTGAACATCAGGTACACCCAGCTGACGAGTCCGAAAATAGGACGAAACGCACGTCCTGGATTCCACTGCTAGCCACTATCCATCTTTGCTTACAAGACGTATGACTGTTTAATGTTAGCAAGTTTTTGGTGATATCAGTTCTTAGTACGATAATAGACTTAAAATTGTACAATATCATATCATTACTACCTATAATAATGATGACGAATTTAACAGAGTACTTTGTTAGAAAATTTTCAATTCAGCAAACGATCAATTGTAACTCGAATAACTCAATGTATTTTCAAATCCCACCAAAGATAAAAGTCTCCTAATAATAACAGGTAAATTTTATTGACTGTCAACTGACAGTTATTATGAAAAGTTCCCATCCGACTGCTTTTAACAGATAATCAACTATTTTAAGTACATTCTGAGAAAGAATAAAATCTTCACGGATTCGAGTCAATAAACTTCAGTCAAAGTGAAAATGAGGGTATATATTGCCTGTGACAAGCTTAGATGTATTTCAGCTTTAAACATAAAGGTTAAATTTCAATTGACTGAATGTAATTTCATAAATGTTCCAGTTTCACATTTCTGCGGAATAATTATTTTTGTTTAAATGTTTTTTTTTAGTTCATACTTTCACTATACACTGTGCCACTAACAGTCAATCATTTTTTTTCCTTAGTACACAAATTTATTTACAAAACATGATACAACATAACCAGTTGACGGGAATGAAATGATTTAAACTAAAATCGATTTAAAAAAATCGTTGATTTTATCAACCTGTTTTAAGATTTTTCAAATTATATAGCAGAAAATTTGCAAATTACAAAAAAATGTTGTAAAATTTGTTAAGTTTAGTACCTCACAGCTGTCGGTACTTAAAACTCAATTTAGTCAGTTATTGTAGTTATATGTGTACATTGAGTTATCATCTCGATATTGATTGTATACACAACATTTTAGTGTGTTTTTGAATTACCTCTAACAGTGGAAATCAGGGTCTTCATTTCTTCCTACCTAAGACACGACATATTAGTGTTTTTGGATACCATCTCCATGAAAATGCTTGTGAGTTTCTGAACTTCGTAGCTTAGTAGGTAACCCGTTAGAGTTTAAACGTGATAGAATTGAAGGTGTATTCTCAATGTGAACATTAACACTGGAATCCAGCTATCTTCTAAGTGATGAGATCAAATATGGTGAAACGTTCTATTTTGATTCGATTACAAGCCACAGTGTAATATGTTAAAATGTTCCCTTTAAAAAAAATCTAATTTTATTATGAAAAGGTTTTAATATTCTTGTTATAAACAGTATCTTGTTGATTAAAGTTACTAGGACAGTTAGTCTATATGGTAAACGATAGTGTAGGTTGGTTTTGTCCCAATGAAGCTTCTGAACTCAATAAATAGAGAAAATTGATTATAAACAATCTTGATGAAATGCACTTATTTTTTAACAGATTGAAGAATTCATTTCCATAACTAACATATCACATATGTTTGGGGGTCATCAGTCATGGGTTTCATTTGTTATACACTAGGTGACATGGCTAAGTCAACCGTAGTTTCGTAATGAATCATTGAACACATTACGCCACACGACATGTTAAAATAGATAATGGTCTGAAGGAAGTGTTTTTCTGATGTCGAAAAAGATTTGAAAGTTATTGATCGACCTTCTCAAATTAAAGAATATTGAATCAGGTTTTATCATCACTTAACAGAAACACCTATATGAAAAAATATCCAAAACAAATTTTATATAGTCTAGACCTGCATAAATAATATCTTACCATTATGATGAATGATTTTAAAAATACCGGACGACTTTAAAATTAATTGATTACTTAGTAAAGACCAGTGTAATATTTTTCTTCCTATCACTTCACTGCTGATCAATTTCATATCAGTCAAGTTGAAATATGATCGCTAGTTTAAATAATTGAAAGTTGTGTGGACCGCTCTTTTATTTTAGGTGGTTAGAGTTAGTCAGGACAGTACCTTGAACTTAGGTTTTCTACTAGTTGGTACTCACCTTTGTGATGTTAAGTCACCTTGGTTAGTGACCATGTAGCAACATTCTGGATAAGATTCGATTAGTACTAAAGGCTAGATATATATGTCATTGGTCACTGTAAAACTGAGAGATGAAGGTTCAAACTTCACAGAATGGCACCATTCCTCTGAAGACTAAATGTGTGAGCTTCTGACAAGTGCTAACCAGCGCAAAACTCATTGTCAGAGTTTACTACTGATTACCTCCGGCAACCTATTATCAATCAACATAAGGTAAGATATCTGATCTAAGTAGTAACAAAATATGGAAGATATTTTGACTTTATTGATATAATAAAAATAATTATATGTCAATCATAAAGCCTCTTCAATTCTAACACTAACTAATTAAAATCAAAGTCTCTTCACATAGTCTCATAGTTTCATGAATACAAAGTGATAAAATTTACTGGTTTATTAAAGAGTCTAAATTGTAACAACAGTAGCTGTAATGTGCATTATATAGATTCTATTAATTAAAATCAGTATATTAGCGATTGTGTAACAATATATTTTAGTCAAATAGGTACATGACAATAAATTTGAATAATTTGGCGAGAGGAAATCCCACCCACAAAATGATAAAGAATTGAGATTGAATTGTTAATAAAGTAAATAGGGGTAGAAAACTTATGAACATTGTACATTTAAAAGCTTTAATTAATTTTATTTTTAGTAACATGATAAGTTTCTGTAGTTGTTTAGTGTGCATACTCTTTTTATTATCAAATTTATGGTGTATGCTACTTATGTCGACAGATAAAAGTAAGTAAATGCTGGGCGGATATTGGATTTGAATGGCCCGACTAGTCGACATTGCTACTGAGGTCAGCGTGCCGAAGGACTTGATATTTTAACGGAGAGCGTGGCGCAGAATGTGGCAAATGAGAAGGTAGCGCGGTGGGCAGAACCACCGAAAGGGTGACTGTTTGAAGGGGAGACAAATTTGGTGTTTGCTACTTATGTCTGTCAACATAAGTAGTATATAACACCCATCAGAAGTGGAATGCCTGGCAGCGAAAAATCAAGAAGATCGAACCGAAGAGAACGGGGACAGAGAGTAGTTTTAATAACAACAGGAATGAAGGAAGGATGAAGTTTGTAAAAGACAACTGGTGGAAGGCTTGCAAATGAAATAATTAATGTCAGGTTCTCATATTTCACGAAGATATTCTGTAATTTAGTATTAAACAATAAATCGGTATTTACCAACTGTGTTCATCTGTAATAAATTTATTTAAAAGCAACATATTTAGTACATGACATTTTAAATATTCACTGAAAACTGGGAGGCACCCAACAGGTTTTTTTTTTCTAGTATGTGACTTCTTTATAGTATTCACCTACCAGATTCTCGTTAAGGGATCTAAACATTAAAAAGTTCGTCGAGAGACCTGAAGGTTCTAAGGAAACTCATCCTAAGGTGAAACAGTCATTCAATTCTTCAGAGCAGATTATGAAGACAGAAAGGTAAGATCAAAATCTAGATAACTATCGAGTACCTGTGTTCATGAAGTCATTAAACGTGTTTGATCTCTGTGTATTCCTTACTAATAAGATTCAAGAACAATGGAACTCACAAATATCCTTAACAAACGTTGACTTTTTTAATGTTCATGTTAATTTGATAAATACATGCCCGACAACTGATCTATTTACTAACTAATTAGATGCAAATTATAGTTAGGTTAATAACAATCCAAAGTTTGATCTACAGCTTGTTTAGTAAACAGAACTGTGTGTGTTTGAATTTCAAATAAAGGATAACATCCTTAAAGACTGCAGATTTCAGGGATTTTTCGATGAGGCATTATGTTTTGCCAAACACCAGTTTACTGTCTATATGACGAGCTGAATTTGAGAAAATAATCTTTGTGTGCGTAGTTTGATTAAAACACAAAGTGACTTTACAGTTCAGGAGACTGATTTCTGGAGACTCCTACAGGTATTTTGAATGATGGAAACTGAGATTGGATGGAGTACAGTCGACAATCGTTTCTATCAACCGTGAAAAAATTATTTGACGGTCATCAAGTTATGTTGCTAGTTAATTGAAGTTTAAATTGCATCATTGGATTCTAACTCAGTATTTCTAATGGTCAGGCACTGTTCAAAAGAAATTAAAGGTCCTAGGTTTGATTTTTGTATTCATGGCTGCATACTGTTATTGAGCCATTTACTAGGAGGAAACAGCTGTCCAGTACCTCTTGATTTTCAACAGTACGTTTAACGAAGTCTATTTGTGGTGAACATCACCTATAAGTTAACTCGATCTTCAAAATAACTTCAAGTAAATAATTAAATATTCAAATTCACTTGTTATTGTTTTACTTGAATCTTTTCATTGATATTTAGGACTGCAACTGATCAGTCTCTTATTGACATATATGCATACTGTGCGTACTGACTCAAAATTGCATCAATTCACAAGTATTATAAGCAAAGATGGATAGTGGCTAGCAGTGGAATCCAGGACTCGTGTTCCGTCCTATTTGGGACTCGTCAGGGTGTACATCAACTCTGAGATGCAGGTACATTCAGCTGGCGAGTCCGAAATAGAATGGAACGCGCGTCCTGGATTCCACTGTTAGCTATTATCCATCTTTACTTATAACTAAATGTTCAACTACATTTTGCTATATATTAATCGAAAAATGTAAAACATGTCGGTACAACAAATGTATTAACTTCTCATAAAACAAATATACCAGCAATTTTTCTTTAATGTTTACCGTTAATGACTTAGGTAGTAACTTTCATGACCTAATTGAGAAAAATGATGAATAGTTTAGTTAAATTGATGGAAGTAATTTTATGCTTGTTTTTCGAATAATTCACACAATAAAATTACGGAAAACAGATAGAGAACTAGATAATGGAATAAATAAATTAATTATTATTTAGACATAGAATATCAGTATAATGGCATGATATGTCACCGATTATTTCAATGAATACAGTCATACACAGGCATAGAATTCCTTTGGAAGGCTTTAAAATACTGTTCCCAAGAACTCGAAAGAAAACACATGGCATTCAAATCAATCGCGAATCAACAGGAATATCTGCGTATACCATATTTACAAGAAAAAGGTCAACCGCTTAACTGACTGGAGTTCAACTAAAAACAGTCTATAGAAATAAGACAGCATATAGAGCTAAAAAAGATTTCAAGGAGAGCTATTTACAGACAAGGTCATAAGTGTAGGCTTAGCATTCAGCGGTTATGGAATACTGAAATCCATAGACTCTACATGAGGTCAGTACTAATAATATTGCTCAGAATGTCAACCAAAGGTTCCTAATTAAAATAATGAGGTCAAAGAATAGAACGCAACCAACAGCAAGTGACATAGGGGATCTTTCTCGTTCATATTTAATTATTCAATTATAACAAACAGAAGAATTTAAAAGCAAATATTTTATCTTTTTATGGGATCAGTTACCTGAATTCACCAATATATATATATATATATATATATATATATATATATATATATATATATATATATATATAAATCAGTATTTATGTGTAAATTGGCGACTTGCATCCAGAAGGTTGCGGTAGAAACGCTAACACATCAAACACTGGTCTATTTAGTCACAATATGATATTTAGAAAGACGAAAAGTATATATTCATATTTTCCGGACACTTTCTACTTCTAAGTCATTATACACTTGACTTGTGGACAATCCTTACATCATAATAAATATGTAGACTAAAAAAGTAGGATTAGCCAAAAACTCAGTCAGAATGATGATTATACATTTGAATAATCCATAACGCATGTAACACTTCAATGTGATGATCTGTCATTCAGCTTGATATGTTACTTCATAATAGACAAGTAAAAAGAGGATTAATACAACGTACATAGCAAATGTTTACAGAGTCGGTAATAGTTATTTAAAAATAGACACTTGATAAGTAAAAGAAGACCATATGTTACAAATATTTGCAGTTTGTTTGTTTTTTTGTAATTTACTGATAAATCAAAGAGGTATTTCTGTTGAAGAATTGTTCAGTTTGTAGGTGGTATTTGTCAAGGAACGATCTTATTTATGGTAAGGATGAAAATCAGAGAGTATTGGTCAGGTACTCAGTCCCAACTTGGGACTCATCAACAATGTATATGCTTCAATGGGTTAAAGATAAAACGCATGATTTACTGATTTGGCGTTTGACATCATTCCGTGATAAATATCATCAACAAAGCTTTAAAAAGTGTAAATCAAAAAGATGGTAAGACTTTCAAACTTTTAAATTTCACATGAAGAACGAATATTATTTGGTCAAAGACATCAGATGTGTTTCGATTGCACGAATATTGAAATTGATCACAAGCAGATGATAATGTGGTGTTTTTGAAGACTTATTTAAATAAAAGTTACAATCGTCAAAGATTTATTTTCTTAGTTGAAAGCGTGAGTCAATTGAAGCTAGACCACCATCGAAAACCTGAAATCATTGAACGGCTGTTTCGTCCTATTATGGGACTCCTCAGCAGTGCGGATCTACGATCCCGCACTCGCAGGATTTGAACCCAGGACCTACTAGTCTCGAGCCAGAGCCCTTAGCCGACAGACCACTGAGCTGGCCGGTTAATGTCTAGATTCAACTGATCCACGAAGTTGAGCAACCGTTCACCAATTGTCTTCAGTAAGTTGATATCTCACGACAGACGTGGTTTGAACTCCACTGGTCACTGCTTCTCACTAGAACTCCTGGATGTACTTCTCGAAGTCAGTCACTAGTAAGCATATGATCTCCACAAAACCCCTTCTGATAATTTATTCTCTTCTTTTAAAATAATGTTGTTACCAACTGAATTCATTCTAGTACAAAAACGACTCTATAAGAAAATAAACGTATGACTTTCACTTTACTTAAAAGTTTCGCTACCGATGAGCTCTAAAACTTTAAGGAAACGATTTTCAAATAGTTCTTAACATAATTTGATGAAGAAATTTCTTACAGTTCGTTTGACATTCATAAATTAACGTCATTGAATAAGATAACTCTTGAAACTATATATATAAAGAAATACGGCTATTCATTTAATAAGTACAATTGCACGTACTTAGCTAAACGCTTTATATGAGGGCTAGTGAAATTACTTGACTGTCTTAATCGAAGTAGATGTTGAGATATTTTGACCTATAGTATAGTAGTTGAATTTGAATGACTTTGAATAACTAATCAAATAAACAAACAATGTACTTTATGTTAAGCTATTTAGATTAGCTTAAACTAATGAATCACCAAGTTATTTATACTGATAAATACCCGTTTTGACAATAAAAATAAGTGGAGAAGATTTGTAGCTCAGGTGGATGATTTCGGTGGAGTTTTATTCTCTGTGCTGGATAGTATGGTCGTGGAGCTTTCATCATTATTCTGAACGACATCACCCGCACAAACTTATACAGACTTCTACCTGACGTTTGTGCTGATGTTGTCGTTCAAAATAACGATTGTCAAATTAGTCTCAGATATTTGTTGGGAGCGGTGTGTTTTATAGTTTGCACTACGAACTAACTTGAGTTAGGAAAAACTGAAAACTTGAAAGTACTGGACAGCTAGGGAAGTCCTACTCACTGCCATCTTGCAACACGGGTGTTGTTTACGAAATTGAGAAGACGAAAAGCGAATGTCCGGCGCTTTAACCGGGTTGGTGGATGTGGAGGATCCACCTAAGGGAGTTGGAAAACCCTGATTCCAAACCAATGCTGCACATGGGCTGGCTCCAGTATCCTCAGGGAACAAATGGCGTATGAATCAATTGTTGGTCACCGGCTACCATGGGACTGCATCTCCTCACGATGCTCCACTGCCTTGTGGATCAGACCTTTATGTCCAAGGCTCCGAATGTGGCCCCTTAAGAAAATCACCTGCTCCGGTTTGGTCACCTGGGTATCATCACAGCCCTCACACAAATGAAATGAGATTTGTGTGGCGCATATGTATCTGGTGCTTCCATGTACCAATATTTATGTGTATAAATAAATAAATAATACTGGACAGCTGTTTCTGTTTAGCATCAAACTCCGCAGAAATGTGCATCCATAACTTTACTTTCGGTTCAAAATCAGGACCTTCAGGTCACTTGACGAGCTCTTAATATTTAGACTACTTAGTGAGCATTCATTAGTTTATATTTTTAATTTTCATAATTTCGTGATATTGTACAAGCATCTTTCAATACCATTGATGGATAAATGCTCCATATCTGACATAGTTGAACTTCACTGGTCATCGTTTCACAATAGAACTCAGTAAATTACCTATAATAACAAGCTATTATTTAGTGCATGATCATTATTAGTGTAAGGCATTTATGAAGGTTGTTAAATTTTAGTTTACATTATAAATTGACCTTAAATGACTATTGAAAACTTAGAAAACACTGAACAACTGTTTCGTTCTATAAACTTGTACAGAAAATAAAAATATGGATAGTGGCTAAGAGTGGAATCCAGGACTCGCGTTTCATCCTATTTGGGACTCGTCAGCTGGATGTAACTGCGTATTAGAGTTGACTTTCACTCTGGGAGGAACTCGAACCCAGTAACTATCGCTTCAAACGTCATCGCGTTATCCACTCGGCCACTGAGTCCTGATAGCCACATGCTTGTGCAATGGGATGAAGTTTAAAATCACTTAGTATTGTTTTGTTTGAATCTTCTAATTGATCAATGGGAAGATTCAAACAAACAATACTAAGTGAATAAAATAAAAATGTTCAATAAAACGGCGCGAAACCATGAACAATGGGCGATAAATAGAAAAGAAGAATAAAATATACAGTAGGTTCGAGATCTTTTACATTAAAATAGAAACACGGAAAGAAAGACAATTATTCATCGTGTTATTGATGATGTAAATGAAACTCACTTAATGTACTTATATTGTTCGATAATGTAGCTGATCGATTAGATGCAGCAGTCGGACGTATTGTTGCACATTGTCTGTTATATTTTAAACTTTGTAAATCTTCATATGAATTTCTTAGATTAAATAGATTTGGACGTTGTGATAATTCTTTCTTTTAATATGGAACATAATTAGGTGGGGAAAAAAGGCAGAAATAAAAATACATTGTGATTTGAAAAGGAATTTAGTTTATGCATTTAAAAAATTGAGAAAATCAGAAACAAACATTATTATTTTATCAGAAGGGGGTTTTGTGGAGATTTTAGTAATTTTATATAGTTGAGATTATGAGTCGATTGAATCTAGACCAGCATGGAAAACCTGAAAGCACTGGACGGCCGTTTCGTCCTATCGTGAGATTCCTCAACAGTGGGCATTCACGATCCCGCCTAACGCGATTCGAGCCCAGGACTTATCAGTCTCGTGCGCGAGAACATAGCCGATAGATCACCACAACCAATCCACGAAATCGATTATTTTAAGCCGAGTTGGATAGTAGATAACAGTGGAATCCAAGACATGCTTTTCATCCTTGTTTGAGGTTCATTAACTGGATATATCTACCTGTTAGTTCTGATTTTCACAGCAGAATTCAAAATCAGTATTTTAAGTTTAAGGATCTTCAAATTTAAATTCAACATACTGACTTGGTTATTGACGAACTGTGCTCATTTTTTGGTATTGAACATACAGACGGTATTTCCAGAGCCTGCTCAGGTATACAGCCGTTAGACTTTTGCACCCAGGAATGGATTCCCATCAGTTTACTAAAGTTTAAAGCTGCTTTAGTTTCATTAAATGTCATTATTTCAGACTGATAGTGGGAGTTTAATTACTACCGATTTTGATTTAAGCTATAACATGGTCTAAATAATCCTAGTGAATAGTTTATTCTATTTTAAAAACCAATCTAAACAAGTATTCAGCAGTTGTCCAATGATAATATTTAACTTGTTCAAAAAATGTATGTAAATAATTGAGCTTCTTTGATTAGATAATAATTCCTTACTGTTGTATACCATCTGTTGTCTTTTGGTATTGTTATTATAGTTAAGATAATAATTCTATTTGTTATCTCTTAGATTTTTTACAATGTCATCCATTCATTATTATAGTGTCAATTTAGTCGATTATATCATAAAGTAATTTTGTGAAAAGAAAATATATATATATATAAATCAATAATTCTAAACTTGTCGGCATTTGTTTCTAGATTTTATAGAAATAGATCCAACTATGATAATGGATAGGATGATTATAACACTGACAGAGAATGAACTTTTAAAAGCCTATCAAACTTCTATCACACCGTTGTTGTTGTTATGAAATTTCAGACCTATTTATTGGCAGTTTTCCTGTCATGTGGTTGAGGGTAATTGTCAAAGAGTCCTAAAGATTTAAGAGATTCGAATCTGTATTCCTCAGAATCATAGTGGTATAAGCTAAAAATACGTTTTTCGGGAAATAATTGACCACCATAGGACCAAGGTATGCTATTTGAAACTCGTCACCAAAGCATATCTCTTAACTTGAAGAAAACATGCTACTCCTATTAGATGTTACAGGAAACCTAGCTAATAGACTAAAAATGAATGTATTTATCAATATATTTATTAATATAATCAACTTCATGAATAACTTGTGAATATAAGATAGATTTATACTGACAATAATCATACTTAAGGTGGAGTTTTGTTCTTTTAGCTGGATGGTGCGATCTTGGAGCTTTCATTGTTCTCCTGAACAATATCATTAGCACAAACTTTCACCTTGAGCTTGTGCTGATGATATTGTTCAGAATAACGATGAAAACTCCACGATTGAACCATCCAGTCAAGAGAACAAAGCTCCATCTAAATTATCCATCTGAACCACAAATCGTCTCAAACATATCAGAAGTCATAGCTAAAGAAAAAAACAGCGGATTATTTATGTTCTGTAAAAATTATCGATGAAAGTCATATTACGTGGCTCATTTAATTCAAAACATAATACATGGAAGCTATTTTATTCACAAGTTTATTATATTTTTAACTCCGCCTGTAGTCCTTCTGAGGTCACTGTCGGTCCCAAGCCCGTATAGAGGTTGAGAGTCGAACATGGGGTCAGCAACCTCATCCTGTTGAAAACAATCTTTTTAAGAAGAAGATAACCAGGAAAAGTCACTTAAACCAGTTAAACTCAGTCCTGGAAGTTGAAGGAAGAATTATGACACCTCTTAGTAAAAGTCGAAAGTCATCAGAAGTCGCCAGGCCGATATCCTTTCTAACGATCAGCGCGACAATTAACGTAGGTACATGGAATGTCCGGACAATGTAGAAGACTTGGAGGAACAGTCGATTATTTGCGAAAGTGAGGAGATACATCTTGGTGGTTCTCGAAATAAGTGAGAAAACCATTGGATCCCAGCTGGATAGAAAAGGTTAGATAAGGGAGAGATGTTGCTGTACTCTAGTAATGAGAAAGAAAATGCTCCTCACACGCAAGGAGTTGCTCTAATGCTGTTTAAAGAAGCAAGGAAAGCACCTATATGATGGAGACCCCATGGATCCAGTGGATGGGGGGAAACGAATTAATTTTCGACCGTGAACATCAGTTTAGTTATCTGAGAAGTTCAGTATAAAAAAAGGCAAATAGTAATTTTTAATACTTAAACAATTCATAGGTGCAATAGCTTAAGAAAGGGAACATTGATGTTATTTTAGTGCTAAACTTCCTTCCTCTACTAGAATTAGTTAAAAAACACTTCTTAAATCATCATTCTCAGATTATTTAAACTGTGAGTATTGAAATGATGCTAGTACTTTGAAATCTACTTTCTTAATGATTGATAATCAAGCACGTCTGAAAGACCCATATAAATGCCGTCAAATTTCATAATGTAACATTATCGATGGAAACATTACACTTTCTTGATTTTCTATGTTTTCTCAACTTTTTTAAATGTGCCAAGGTTAGATAATCATTGGGGATGTTTTTTAACTCATTTCAACAGCTTTTGTGCTAATATATCTTGTGTTGGAATAGTTCATCTGTATTATTATTACGTAACTATTGGATCTTTGTTCTTTCAATGTAAAACGTTATAAAATGAAATTAGAGACTGACCAGTCGCAGTCCTAAAAACATCAATGGGAAGATCCAAACAAACAATACTAATTGAATTTCAACTTCACCTCATTGCACAAGCAAGTGGCTATCAGGACTCAGTGGCCAAATGGATAACGTGATGGCGTTTGAAGCGAAAGGTACTGGGTTCGAGTCCCAGAGTGAACATCAACTCTGAGATGCAGGTACATTCAGCTGACGAGTCCCAAATAGGACGAAACGCACGTCCTGAATTCCACTGTTAACCACTATCCATCTTTGCTTACCATGCTTTTGAATTAAGGCTATATGGAGGCGATACGCACAGTATGCACATATGCCAATTAGAGACTGACCAGTTGCAGTTCTAACACATCGATGGGAAGATTCAAACAAACAATACTAAATGAATGAAGTCAGTATTTCTAAACCGAAGGGATCATAAAAGCGTTCTCAGATTCTTGAAAATGACGATGAAAACGTTTACAAACAAACACCAAAAAAAAACAAAACTAACCTCTAATTTGTTAATTTTCTCTTCTAAATCTCGATTAGTCTCTTCCAATGCATTAATACGTAAATGTTGTTTTGAAACTTCATTTAATAATTGAAGATTATCCATATCAGTTGATATCAGTTGACTAATATTTTTATTTCGATGACCGGTTGTTGTACAGTTTTTATTGACCAAATAAGACAACTAAGAATGAGAAATAAAGGCATATATGTTCTTATAAATTTATATCTATGAAAGAAATCATCAATATCACTAAGTACTTGACTGATGTCATGTTTGTCTACTCCTTGGTGCGTTGATCCAAATATATCAAAATTAAGATGTGGTGTGACCCCCAAAATATTTGGATCGATATAGCAAAAGTGAGTTACCTACAAACTACATAATCTACACGATGTCAAGTCATGTGAACTATTAATTGCATTACAAGTAAGTCATGAGAATTACATTAGTACGTTAAAGAACAGATACTCATGATGTTGATCACTACTCAGAATTATGCCTACCAAACACAGTGTAATATTAATGCCACATAATTGTAACTTAATTCAAACACCTTTTTAGCAGTTATTAGTATATTGGTGAGAAAAAAAGATTCAGCGAACTAATGGTGATGAACAGAAGGCATGTAGGCAAAAATGGATAGTGGCTAGCAGTGGAATTCAGGACGTGAGTTTCGTCCTATTTGGGACTCGTCAGCTGGATGCATCTGCATCTCAGAGTTGATGCCCACTCTGGGAGGAACTCGAACCCAGTAACTTTCGCTTCAAACGCCATCGCGTTATCCACTCGGCCACTGAGTCCTGATAGCCACTTGCTTGTGCAATGGGGTGAAGTTTGAATTCATTTAGTATTGTTTGTTTGAATTAGAGACTGACCAGTTGCAGTCCTAAACAGCAATGGGAAGATTCAAACAAACAATACTAAAAGAAGGCATGTAGGCAAAAATATAACACAATTAACAGAAAGGGGATGGTGATTTATTAATTGTCACCCAACACATACTGACCAAGATCATCTATATTTAAAAGGCATTGGTAAATTAGTATTTCTAGACAATAATTTATTTTATTTAGAAACTATTCAAATTAATAGTCAGATCAAAGGGACGTCTAAATCAAACAACTGTTTTTCTTTGGTTTGATTAATTGTAAAATATTTTAGTTATGAGAAAAAGTTTACTGACGGGTGCAATAAAAACATTATTATTATTATTATTACCATTATCATTAATATTGGTCCTCTACATACTTCACCTTCATAGGTACGATTCTAAATCAATATATGGATCAACACATAAAACTAACCATGATGATATACGAACTGATATAATAGATAGAATATGTAAAGCGTAGTTAATACTGCTAACATAATATTTAGTACGGTGAATAGTGTAAAGGTTTAAACAGATCAGCTACTATAAGATCAATTTAGTATATGACCTGGGGAATAAACTTCAAAGCAATAAATGAGTTGCTTTGCTTATATCTATTAAGCGTTAAGTTATTTACTAAAAAAATTAGATCACCGATCTGTAGTAGGTATTGGGTTCCCGACCATAGCTAATAATTTGATGCAATGATTGAGCTTGCCTGTGGTTTTGAGCCATTCAACGTATATTAGATGAAATATTTGTTTCTTTAGATGCTACCAAAAAAGGTTGGTCATTTAATGCTATGGTAGTATTAAGGACAACCACTTAAGGTTCGGGAACAAAACCATATACCTATAGAATCAGACGAGGTTCCAGTTCTTCTGAGCCCTAATTGATAGTCTGACTTATACTAGTTTGTTATTTCAGTGAGAAACCAATTTGGATTTCTATTCAAGTATAACTAATCCGAAAACAAATGAAGCACAAAAATAGTCAGTCATAAATAAAGTAAACGCTGCAATATATGTAAGTCGGTTAAAATTGCCACATTATACTGGATTATTAGTATTATCAGTGTTAGTAGACAGTATTTGTATGGGGTGATGTGAATCCAATAGAAAGAGTGAATTATTAGGATATGAAAGTAGGAAACAGTTTTGAAACTCAAGATTTAAGGGAAAACAAAAAGTAGCTGGATTCGAGTTATTCTGACCGATTCTGTGACATGTCTCAGAATATCTTCAAGTATCGGTTACAGCAACAGTGAGGACTCCAACCAGATTATCTGCACCTACCAGTATGACTTAGTTCAACAATCAGTGTCAATGGCTTGATGAACTGATGTATGTCTTGGTTTGACCATCCTTAACTTTCCACTAGCCTACTTCTATACCATCATACACCGACTGTCAAGGTAGGAGGTAGTTGAATCCCAGACACCTCAGTCACTGGAAATTAACAACCTCATCAATCAACTTACCGTCTTTACATAGTATCTTGAATCTGAAATCAGAATTGCTCAAGCAATAGTCTCAACACACGTGAGCAATGCTTTGTAAGAAATCATAATCAAATTCTAGTAACCAATAAATATTAATTATTTTTAAAGTTAACACTTCACAACCATATATTAAGCATTAGACATCGATCGAAAATCTGAAACCAGATAACAGATGTTCCTACCTAACATGTGAAATTCTTACAATTGAGCATCCACAACTCTGCCAGAGATCTAATCCACAACCTCCAGATCTCATGCCAAACGTTTAACCTCTCAAGTCAGTACAAAAATATTTAACAACAAATAAATTGAATTATTCGACAGACTAATATCTAAGTGAATTAATTAACAATATCGAAATATTATACTAATACACTAGGTCAATCATACTATATTGTCTCATAAACCCAAAGCTTTATTTATCCAATACAATGACATAAACTCAATTTAGTTTAAATTATCTATAAATAACCTTGACACAAAAAAAAACAGATCAATAGTAGAAACACTTAAAGTGAGTGTGCACAAATCAATGCACCTAACTAAGTAACTAAACTTCGACATTATCAATAGTCATTATACTTATCATAATGACTATTGATCAACTGTAATATTGCACAATTTTATTGCGTATTTATCACGTGTATATGCGTATGTGTATGTGTATGTGTGTATGTGTTTCATTAGCTGTGCTTTAGTGGTTATGGAAATAAACATACATATACATATCTATACACACATGTACACATTTAACAATATAATTATCATGTAGTAAATGTATGGTGTAAGTATACACTTATGTCTCTTTTTTTCTCTTTCTCATATCACATCTACAATAAGAAATTAGTCAGGAAAGACGAATATTTAGAGAAAAAAATATGTAAATCAGGAATTATAAGATTAAATACATAAGATGACTTTTATGTTAAGTGTACTATTATCATATTGGTGATCATTTTGTAGTAGTACTATTGAGGTTATTCACTACTACTACTACTACTACTACTACTACTGTGGTGTGGTCTACTTATATCCATATAAGTAGTATATGGTGTGGGTCAGACATAGAATGTATTTTGGCAGAAGACCGATGAGCAAAGAACTGAAATGAAGCGCAATCGTTTGGAAAATGCATGAGCAATGGAATAAGAGAAGAAACAGTAAAGATTGAAACAATTGGTTGTTATTTTGCAAATTGACTGTTCATTGTTTGGTTATCAGAATTTACTGAGATAGTCTGTAATGTTTGTTTAAATACAATCGATTGTCCCCAGTCGTGTTCTGTTCATTACACTACTACTACTACTACTACTACTACTACTAATAATAATAATAATAATAATAATAATAATAATAATAAAGTCAGAAACTAAAGTATACGTAGGTAGGTCCTGGGTTCGAATCTCGCGATGCGGGATCGTGGATGCTCACTGCTGAGGAGTCCCATAGTAGGACGAAACGGTCGTCCAGTGCTTCCAGGTTTTCGATGGTGGTCTAGCTTCAATTGACTCATGATTTCAACTGTGAAAATACTAAATTCTTCACAAAACCCCCTCTGATCTATAAAGTATACGTGTTTATAATGGTGTGAAAACGATAAGTACATACTAGGTTACAGTGTAAATCTTGTCGAATAATTGATAAATACGTAGGTGGAAGTATATAATACTATTAATCACTTATACATCACATCCAATTGTTATTATGATTTGCAGTATAATGGTTTAGTGATGCTTTTGTGAAATTTATTTATAAATTCATTCGTTGATATAGTCGCGAATATGAATTAACGTTGAGGAGTTCCACACCAAGATGAAATGGCTATCCAGTGCAATCTAGTGTTCAACGGTTGTCTAGTCAAAGTCGCCCCCAAATGCCCTGGTACGGCCGAGAGTGGGGAGAGTCTGCCCTCCCTCTCCAAATGCTCTCATATGGCCACGCGAATATATAGCCTCTGTCAGGGAAGTCCTACTCACTGCCTTCTCGTGGCGGGGGTGTTGTTCACAAAAGTGAGAGGACGAAAAGCGAATGTCCGGCGCTTTAACCGGATCGGTGGACATGGAGGGTCCACCTAGGGGAGTTTGTAAACCCTGATTCCAAACCAATGGTGCACATGGGCTCTAGTATCCTGAGGGAACAAATGGCACATGAATCAATTGTTGATAACCGGCTACCATGGGACTGCATCTCCTCAAGATTCTCCACTGCCTTGTGTATGAGACGTTTCGGTCAAAGGCTCGGGGTGTGGCCCCCTAAGAAAATCACCTGTTTCAGTTTGGGCACCTGGGTAGTATCACAGCCCTCACACAAATGAAATGAGATTTGTGTGGCGCATATGTATCTGGCGCTTTCATGTACCAATATTAATGTGTTTAAATAAATGCAATAAATAAGCTAAAGTCAATCCATGGAAGAAAGTTAAAAAAAACTAAACAATCTCTAGTATTCTCTCTAGCTAGTATTAATAATAATAGACTTTTATCCAAATATTTATGCAATAACTATGAAGAAAGATATTTCAGAGAAGAGATTTTTGTTCGACGATATCATTTAGTCGTGCTGTACAATTGTTTTTACCGCCAAATTGTTATAATAAAAACAGGGAATTATTGAGTCAATAACAGACGTTAATAGAAATGAGATGTGAAAGATAATCCACTTAAAGTTTATAAAGAAGGATGAAAACAGGAATGAACACATGTCAAAACAATCCACAAAATGATATATAGAACTGAGATATGAAAAATAAATGATAACGGGGAGATGAAAAAGGGAAAATGAACACATGTAAAGAAATAACTGACAAAATATGAAGAGATGTTATGATTATGATAAACTAAGGAAGTGAGTAAACTGCTTCTGAATACAGAGATCGAGCTTGAAATGATGAATCTCCAAAGTCTTTGCTATGCATAGGTTTCTTATCTACCACTCCTTCGAACCAGTTCGTCTAACATCGTGAAGAGATGTAAATAAATATTCTGGTATGGATATATGACCGAAAACAACCAGATGTTCGACAATTGAGCTAACAGTCATTTTACATTTACGTTTCGATAATGATGCTGGAATGTCCCTCGATATGTGTTTGGAAAGAGAATCCTTTGTGTGATTGCCATAACAAGTTCTATAGGAGCAAGTAAACTGGTAAATACGCAATGGGGTAAGCCGAATCGGCGGTATATTTTTGATACATCCTTGTATCAGGCATCTGCCGTAAAATACAGTTTGTAGTTCAGCTAAATAAAGGGTCTTCGACAACAATCTGGATAGTCTATTTCTCAGGGTCTCTACGACTGTATCTCCGTCGAACTGAATTATCATCTTGCTACATTTGAAGAGATTACAATTCAACTAAACAGACAAACGGAACGGAAGTCAGCAAAACGGCAACTGAACGAGCTAACTTTTTCACTGTGTCCCAGCCCTGCTAACTAGAGGGAGAAAATCAGATTTAGCCTTGGGAAAGTATATTCTACAAGCAGTCGGAAGCACGAAAAAACAGGTACATAACTTAAGCGTGTATATAAAACATAAAAGTGTCCTTGGAAAACGTCACAAAATAGCGTATTAAAAGAGGAAACGAACTAATGACATTTAGGGTCCTTCCAAGCGGGAAATATAATCTGAGGATAAACGTAGGTGCTTTTGGTGCGAAAACGATAAATTAAGATTTCCAAAATAAAATTACAAAAATAAGAGATCTAGCATCCCCAACACCCCTCTTCTTCATCATCCTGTATTCTTCAAGTGGTCAATAATTCTTCACTTCTCAGTTCTTTATACCATTTTATGGATTGTTTTGACATGTGTCCATTCATATTTTCATCAATAAGTGTGTTATCTTTCACATCTGGTTTCTATATTTTATTCCATTCTTATTACTTCTTGACTATTACAAAACTTTAAATTCTGATTGACTTTTAGTACTTCTATTAATGACTCAATAATTCCATGTAAACATTTGACGGTAAATACAATTGTACAGCACTACTAAATGATATTGTCGAAAAGAAAATCTTCTTCTCTGAAAAGTCTTTCATTTAGACAATAGTTTACAATTATGTCTGAACAGATAAATAAGTATTATCAGAAGGGTTTTTGTGAGACTCCTCAGCAGTGCGCATCCACTACCTCGCCTCGCGAGATTCGAACCCAGGATCTACCAGTCTCGCGCCAGAGTACTTAGCTTCAATTGACTCATGCTTTCAACTATGAAAATACTAAATCTCCACAAAAACTTCTGATAATAACAGTCATATGCTGACTAGTGACTGACTTCGAGAAGTAAATCAAAGAGTTCAAATGAAAAGCAGTGACCAGTGGAGTTTAAACTAGGTCTATTGTGAGATAGGAACCCACTGAAGACGGTTGCTCAACTTTGTGGATTGATTGGAGTTAAACATAAACACCATCGGATGCCGGCTCAGTGGTCTATCGGTTAAGTGCTATGGCGCGAGACGGTCGTCCAGTGCTTTCAAGTTTTCTCTGATGGTCTAGCTTCCATTGACTCACTCTTTCAACTATAAGATAAATAAGTCATTCAACTCTTCATTCATTCAAATTATAATCTCTGTAGTATTAGTAATAGCAATAATAATACTTAGTAAAATTATCAAGATAATAGAATAAATTACCAAGATTAAAATGGAATTAAATTGACTAATTTATTCGGAAAATATGTGTAGTGATTGAACATAAAAAGAAATTAATGTATTTTATAGAAGGATTAAATTTTTAATCATATTTTAGGGAGAGAAAAATTATGGCACTTATATGTAAACAATAAGCAATCATAATGACTGTTGACTAACTAAACAAAACATCTACATAAACACACTGGTTAATTAATGATTTCATCAAAATTTTGTTTCAGTAAATCATTTCGAAATATTAACTGAAAGAATACTGTCAACATGAAGGCAGTTTCTTTTTTTCTTTTCTGAAAATGATGAAGAGAAATTTTTCAGATGGAATTTGGTTCCGTTAATTCTGTAATTAATATATTATGATAAGCTTTATCATAAGCTAAAGGTTTGATTATTTAGAAACAGAGCGCTTGTAAATTCTAGATGATTGGAAGAAGTTAATTGGAAATCCTACGTAACTTGGGTTAAAAACCTAGTTGGAACTTGTCAGTAAGGCGTACATGTTGTTTTAAGGAAAATAATAATAGTCCCTGATGGGTTTGAACTCGAGTAACCCTGTCCTAAAGTCTGAGATGTTATGACTGAGTTATTCAAGCAGCAATCGAGATATTTACACCTGACTGACCATGGAGCGTTGATTAATGTCGTATTAATCTGGCTCTTTTATCACTGATCCACTTTGATTGGTTATTTGGAAAGATTACAGATGGGAATTACTAAGGAGTCCGAAATGTCATAAACCTATAGGTCCGAGGTTCCCTGTCAACCATCTACATACACTGAACATATAAACACAGTTCACTCAATCCTGAGTCAGCTAGACTGGTGGCTGCACTACAACTTGATCAATAAAACTTGACTAGCGCTTACAGGACCAGACAAACACGATATTGATCGCTATATAGTGACCAACCAATGTATGAAGTTGAAAAAGTACATCATGCATACATAGATTTAAATTTACACTTTGTCTAGTCAGTATTTCCTCTTCAGGTGACTCCACTTCTGTGAGATAGATGTGTGGAGTAAAACAACTGTTAAAAAAATTCACACATTTCTGCCTACTGAAACATGTAAGTAATTAAAAACATATCAATCTTTCTCTACTGTTTATAACATCGTGACAAAACTTTTATGACATAACTTGACTGTAAACCTTTTTCTCGTGACTTTGTTAACAATCACGACGTTTTCTGAATGTCAGTGATTCATATATAATGTCGAACCTGAGACATGTGTACATCGGTTTAAGTTACCACGCCTCATCAGTACAGAGATATGAAATGGTCAAGGAAAGTCCCAGAATGGTAGGAGTAGTAACAGTGTTAGTGGTGGTAGAAAAGATTAGGCACCGAAAAGACAATTCAAGAAGAGAATATTATTTAGTGAAATTAAAGGAATTCATAGTATAACTTGAGGACAATGAGTGAATGTACATGCTAATGATTTCTAGCTTTGCCATTCAAAATCTGTAAATATTGATTACGATAATCGGCGGAACCCAGCCAGCCTAGAGAACACAACGTTATCAAAACTTTTTCTTATCGTTAAAAAAAAATCATAATGAAGACATCAGTGGTAAATAAAACGACAACTAACTTACTGGGTTTCCATCTTTCTCTAGTTCTGCAATACGATTAGCTTGTGCTTGTACTTGTCCTCGTAATTTAGTGATTCGTTGATGAAAGCGTTTATCATTGAGGTATGTACTAAATTCATTTGGGGGAAACATGTATTGAGATATCATTTGTTGAGGTTGTTCAATTAAATTCAAGTTGAATTTAGTACGTTGTGTGGTTGTGGGCTAAAAGGAATTTGAAAAAGGTTGTGATAATAATTATCACTATTATAATTACAACATAGTTAAAGTATAATTTGATAAAGTTAAGTTTGGGATACTCTTAAGTTTTCTCATTATTCGAAAACAATAACACTATGCAACAGTGTGGGAATAGCAAATCTAGAAATCATATTAAATGTCATAAGAGGTGGCAAAGTACGAATCTCAAGTCAGAAGAAAGCAACATAGGAACTATGCACACATGCACACCGGTCATATTCTCCATAAGATATCAACAGAGAATGATGAAGAATATTATGGTAGAAGTAACAATAGTTCCAGCGATAGTAAGAAAAAGTACCAAAATGAATGAACTTGTGCAGTAAACATTGTAGCTTAATTTTGGAACAATGTCTGAGGGAACACAATGATTGGATATATCTATCGTTCTAACATCGATTATGAGACATGTCAACAAACATCATAAGCCATTAGTCGCGACATTCGTTTAAACCTCAACAAACTGGCTTACATCTATCAATATGACTCAGTCTAACGATCAATAAGAAGCTGTGACTAGTAGAGTTCAATGATGTCAAGTGTGAAACAAATGTTAGCAATAATAACAGAGGAGTCAGATATTAGAAGGAAACAACTATCCAGTGCGTCTTAGTTTTTATTGATTATCAAGTCGAAGTTGATCCACGATGTAAAACCGTGTTCGGTATACACAAAAATCTATATTGTTTTGAATAAATTGATTGTGATGTGTTTCATGTCACATTTACTGAAGGCTAGAGATAATATTATCAACCTAAACTGGCAAAACATGATTATTATTGCTCACTGTTTTCTTCACTAAGTTAGCTAATAGAATGAACCACAACAATACTTCGAAATCGGGCCATAATTTAGCATTGATAGAAAGAACTATTCTGTACATTTACTCATTAAAACTATGTTTTACAATATTTTACGAAAACCCCACAGTATTATGAAGTCATATATATGTACATATACATATATATTGTCTTTTTTATTTCATTTCAGCATAATTATAACTGTATTTGGATAGTGAAGCTGAGTCTTTGATTGAAAAAACTAAAACCTAATAAAACTTGCTAACCAAACAAAATGGTCAGGGATCTATGTAAGAATACCTTGAATTATCTTCAAAATAAAAACGCTAATTGTTTATATTGTGTAAATATTGATGAGAAAGAAAATGAATAAATATTCGGCTACACTTGGTGTTTTTGTGAAATTCTATCTGAAGTATATGTATATAAAGTAGTATGATTGAAGTGTTATAACTTGTTTATAGAGGTACATCAGATTATTTGAGGTAGTTCTGATATGAAACAAAGGTTGCGCATTTAGTTTTTATTGATCACATTATTTGTCTGAACACGACAATCGATTCAGTGACCTACAAATGCCCTGGTACGGCCGAGAGTGGGGAGAGTCTAATCTCCCTCTCGAAATGCTCTCATATGGCCACGCGAATATATAGCCTCTGTCAGGGAAGTCCTACTCACTGCCTTCTCTCATCACGGGTGTTGTTTACGAAATTGAGAGGACGAAAAGCGAATGTCTGACGCTTTAACCGGGTTGGTGGATGTGGAGGATCCACCTAGGGGAGTTGGAAAACCCTGATTCAAAACCAATGGTGCACATGGGCTCCAGGATCCTGAAGGAACGAATGGCGTATGAACCAACTGTTGGTCACCGGCTACCATGGGACTGCATCTCCTCACGATGTTCCACTGCCTTGTGGACTAGACCTTTAGGTTAAAGGCTCCGAGTGTGGCCCCCTAATAAAACCACCTGCTTCAGTCTGGGCACCTGGGCAGTATCACAGCCCTCACACAAATGAAATGAGATTTGTGAGGCGCATATTTATCTGGTGCTTCCTTGTACCAATATTTATGTGTTTAAATAAAATAAATAAATAAAATTAATAATTCACTTTACAGCAGAATTATTAGATATTATTAAAAAAAATAAGAGAAACTTATTTTGACTTTTGAACTGATTAGAATATGATGTTTGGTGGGGATAGTTGACATCAAGGACTGACTTCAACTAGACAATCACTGAAGATGATGGAGCACTAGACTGTTGTTCAAGACTTTTCTATTTAGGATCCACAAAAACTTAAATTCAGGTGTGTAATGGAGGAACAAAATATTTTCGATATCACCATATGATTGTGTATATAATTGCAAAATAGCCAAGTTTTGAAATATAAACCAGTTAACTTCAACTCATTGGTTTGTAAGTAACGTGCTTTGTATGAAATCAATTCCAGTGTTAGGAGGAGCAGGGGCTGATACCCCTTAACTAGTATCAAACCAGAAAGACAAAGGATTTTTCAATATCCCTTGGTTTTCGGCAGTTATCCAAGTGAAGCCAACTCTCAAGAACGTTAAATAGTTTTGTTCACCATTTATAAGTTAACTCTGTAATTGGGAGCTTCATGGAAAAGTCTAGACATTTTAGCCATGTATTCTATCTATGACCCAATTAAATAAGGCAGCGAGAAAAATTGGAGTAATGTACAGGAATTCGTTGTAATATATTGTATAGATCATCACTATAGGAATTCATGAAACGCTCTGAGGGATAGGGTATCTTATAACCAACTGTACGATATCAAGTTTTAACACGATACCCAAATGTCTATGAATGCAATTGTGTACACCATTCTGTCTACTGATATTTAGTGCGTCTAAGCAAACTCGGTAGTTTATTTACACTTTTTTTCTGACACCTTATGGCCAATGGAAAATGATTTAAAGACTTTTCACTATGTAGCATTTAGAAACAGCAATATCAAATGTTTCAGCTTAAAAGACAAGGATTAAACAATCTGTTAGGCTACATGTTTAGGCCTCTCTAGATCTGTGAAGTCACTTAAGTCGAATATTAGGCTAAAAATCCAAATAAGATCACAAACTTTAGTTAGGGGTTAATTTTACAGTGACCTTAATTCGTATTCTCAAAACATGAGCACCCTACCTTCTCTTCTATATTCATATCACCTTACTTTTCGTGTAACGACATCTATAAATGTCCAACAATGCGAAAAGCTCTAAATGGAACAGAAATCTACAGGCGACGCTGGTTGCAAAACTTTCATGAATTTTTTAGAATGGAGTTGTTACAAGGGACTTGAATTTTTAATTTCCAGGAATATAGTTTATAAGGATAAATTTCCTTATAATAGTTTTAAACTGAGAGAGGCCTACAATAATTCATTGAGCTTACCGTCAAAAATTAGTTTGATGCAAGTCATTCAAATAAGTTGAGAAGTCATATATAATTCATATATTATCGAACGTAACAGCGAAAGCACGGCTGTGTTTCTTTGAGTTAATAATATGATGTATTTATGTTTTTCAATATTTTGTATATACAATTATATATTGCAGAACATAAACTTATTTCATAATAAACTTTCGAAACCTTATTTTTTCAGTTTAAAAACCCTCTCATTTTCTACATAGTAACAAATAACCATACATTTTACACAGATTATATCGCGATTTAATTTGACCTTAAAGTTAAGCTCATCATTAAGTACTAAGCCAAAATCCTTAACTTATAGCTTTTATAAAAATGCGGGCTAACTTTAGCGAAAAGGTTGACGGGCCTACTTAAATGAATTTTCGATTGACAAAATAAAACCTGGGGGATATTCAAAAATGAAGTAAAAGTACTTGTTATCTACTTACTCACTGAATTAATGGATCGAAGTTGATTGGTGAATGCTCAGAAGAGCAGAGACACAGAGTAGATGAAAAACGAAAATTTACAATAGCACCTCAAACACAACATTTTCATGTTTGTGAATCAAGTTGTTTTGTTTTCAAGTAAGTACACCAATTAGGTTAAAGACACTTGCAAATCTTTACTGTATATACACCTCTTTATGAGGTGGTAAGACCAATATATATAAAGGTCAACCTTCACAATAAGCTGTCACTTAACATGTTTCATATAATCACTATGGACCGCAATAATTTTTAGCCTATTTTTGCTCATTTAGGATCCACATTTGACTTCTCTATCAAATTTCGATTAACAAAAATAGTCAGTATTTTCACCTCAATTTATCATTGTACGAAATACTGAATCATAAAGGCTTATTCTTTTACAATGGTACTTCACGATTTGTGTTTTGATTCTGATCCATATTATTAAAAGTTGAAATGCTGAGAATAACAGAATATAAATCACACATAGTTCTGCTAGTCATTAGGACTCATTATTGAAATTTGATCTTCAGTAACACTAAGAAATCTTTACCTTAGACTCATATTCTAAACAAAGACTGGTTATTGCAGTTCACCTGATGAGTTTTAAGGAATTAATGAATTTACTGATAAATCTGTTCCGTATACATTACATTCAATATCTCATGATGCAACTATGTTCTAGAGTTATGAAAGAAGTAGCATATGGAACTGCTATGGATTTTAAAGGTCCATCTAAAAAATGTATGAAAAAATGTAATCCCATTTTTCTATCTCTCATCCCCATGTCAACTATATATATTCTGATCATTTATCTTACGATTTTATTTCACCTATAAACTGATTCAAGTTAACACTACATGTTAGTCATCCCGAAAACATTAACGATTCGATCGTATTTTATATGACAAACAATCCTTGATTCACATATTACAGTTTCTTAGATTGATGTACTCTGCCTTAAACTTGGCCAATCTTCTTTTATGGATTATTAATTTATAATTGCAGAACCTGATGACAAATTATTGAAAGGAATATTCTTCGTTCATATAATTGTTTTAATATGATGGGAATTTTTCAGCTATTAAAATGTATGATGAACTAGAATGAATATATTTAAACAAATAGCTCGCATTAAATACAGCTCCTAAGAAATCAATGTATTTATACAAACAATTACGAAGTGTTCCATTTACATCTTTAAGGTGGAAAAGCAGAAACCACATTTCTGCAGACGATTAAAAGTCGAACGCCTACGGTCTGCCCTAGTTCCTGATAATTTTATGAGTTATCAGTGTAGGGTTGTGAAGATTGTTGTGCTTTAATTGAGATCATGAACTGAACAATGTTAGACCGACGTCCAGTGCTTCCAGGTTTCCACTGGTGGTCTAATGTTGATCACTCGTAATCTTAATTAGACTTCGATGGACATGGTGTTGCGTAAATTTTCGAATCTCTCTCCAAAAGGTATCATATACCTTACTATGATTGTTTAGTGAGTTTGTATTTGTATATACTACGGTCAAATCTATTCATCTGAACACAAGCAAAACTTGTACAAAAAATATTAGATGATTTCGTTTGGCAATGTATTACTATTTATTTTGAGTCCAAGATGAAAATATGGAAACCGATTCACTTTACTCAGAAAAACATAACTCATGGCTTCTTAAATCGATATTTTCACTCTTAGGTTATATGAATTGTTATTCCAATCATGTACGAAAAATCAAAATAATTAGGAGCATATTCTTAGTTTTTATTTGAATCCAAGTGAGCATTTTACATCACAACTAATCCAAATACGTATCAGTTCAAAGATACGTGGTTTTAAGGTGGTGTTGTATAACTGAATGACTACTGAGTAGTATCTTGTAATATTTATCTGGTCCGCTAGTACTGACTGAATGTGGATTCTGATCTAAGTGATTAGAAAGCGTATGCACTATGTTACAATGTCTAGTAACTAAAAGTGATCTTCTTTAGGTCTACGTATCATGTCAGTAACATAAATTTCAAGACAATATCGAAGTCCTATTATATGTTATCCGTATGAGTTAATTTGAGACAGATCTCTTCCGGTGTTTAGAAAATCTACAAGCCAGCTTTGTTTGCATATGGCCGAAACCAGAAGGAGCTGTTTTAAAAAAATAAAAAATAGGAGTGCATAGACGAAAGTCCATAACCAGATAGTATTTATAATGGTAGGTTGTAAAAACGTACATGAGCAATATCAAATGAACTGTTCTCGGTTACTCTAAAATCCAGAGCTTGGTATTCCGATGTGCAGATTGAAGCCGCAGGTGTTGATTGATTCAGTTTGTTGATGCAAATTTGAAGTCTATTTATTAGAACGGAAAAGTCTTTCCCGGCTCTGTAAAGATATGTCTCATCAGGTAAGTTTCTGCAATCGTTTAGGTTTTCAACACAATGTTTTCCTTCAGCATCCCGAATTGAGATTTTTGGTAATATATTCCGCCTGTCATTATTGATCTCAGCGTCATAACCTTCATCTGTTTCATAGTTATTCACTATACGAATGTAAAATGACGTTCTTGACATTTTTACCTTTCAAAATTTCATCAACATCTTTAAGAGCTGAAGCCAAAATCCGGCTAGCCTCTAGATTACTCATTTAAATCACATATCTAGTAGTTGCTGATTGAAACTATCTAAACACGCTTGTAGATTAACATAATCAAATTCACGCGATTTCGGTTTTTCGTGGTGTTTACTACAGAACAACAAGCATTTTCAAAAAACAAATCTAGGTCTTATTTTCAATAAAATGAGGTAAAAACATGTGTCCTACAACATGTAAACTGCCTGTCTGATCAAACTACACTTCCAGAGAAATTCGAAATGTCAACATTTCTGTTACAAGCCGGCGTAATTCATTTACGCTCACGTTATGGAGCTAACGTACGCTACCCGGTCCCTGATATCGTCAGATGTGAGTAACCTAGACACTCAAATTCACTAACGCTGGGGCATATGACATTTATTTCAAAGCTAGTCCGCTTTGAATATAAATGACGGTAGAAACAGGTGCTATTGCAATACAATAATAATATCTTGGATCAGCTCTTTTACTAGAACCAACCACAGGTTCTAGGCATTTGATTATGTTCAATACATGGTAGTCTAGTCACTGGACTTCATTTATTTTAGTCGTTTTGATCATGTTTTGCGGATTTGTATATTTTGTTGTTTGGGTGAATGCGTTTGTCTCAGGTTAGTATAAATGCTGGATACTAGTGATGATGCAACGGATGTTCTAGTTTTACAACTAGTTACCAGTAGCACCTTCTATGTTCGATCGTTCCCAGTCAGATAGAAATCAGAAGTCAGACGAGAAGAGGCAGGAAAGATATATTTGATTCGTTACCAATATATCGAGGACCTTTTCTATGAGCTGGCTAATGAAACGTAGGAGCTGTGTCCCACACCGTGTTGAAACGTGATCTGGTGCGGATGCATGACCGAAAGCCTTCAGCTAAACAAGTCCACTTAAACAACATGGTCAGCATCCAATGTCGAACACTTAATGAACTATTGATTTTGGGGAATTATTTACAGCTACACTAGCAACTAAGATTATCCACTTAGGGGAATGTGGTCGCTACATCTAGGAGAGCATTTCAAATGGGGGAACCTTTAATTAGAAAAAGTGTGAACACACCTGAGTGTTAGCCTTTTTTGTACAATCCTTTCAGTGTTTCATCGGGGACAATGATGTGGTCATATAGATCAGGTAGTCACATCATGACAAATCTATCATCTTGGGATAAGTATATTACATTGGTAAGACCAACTAAGGAAGCGCAGCCTGTTATTATTTCACAGATTCACGTAAATATACGTAACTTGGCAATAATTGTAAGCAAGTTTTGGACGGTTGTCCCTCTCTAATTTTCCATCCTGTTTCTTCACCTAAAACTTTACTCGATTTTAAACTATGAACCATCCCCTAATATCTTTTCTTTCAACCACTGCCTGACTTATTTTCTAATTTTCCAGTTCCACTGCCGAAGAATAGGGACAATTTCCCAGAAGCTTGTGTGAGCTTACGTTATGAAGGTTCTGAAATATTAAGCACATTTCAGGTCATTAATCCGATGACACTCAAGTATTTACCTAGACTATCTGGATTTTTACTGAATCAAACGAGTGACGATATCAGTGGCATCACGCAAACCCGTGAATTGGCTGCGATACAGAACGTCTGATCTTGTTCCTTCTGGATCATTACCACTTCTCATAACTGGTCTTTTATACTTCATATTTGTTGAATAACTTGAATCCCGAAAATTATCCAGGCAATTTTTATTGCTGGATGACTTAACATGTTTTTTGTACTTATTGATATGCACAGATTTTTACTTGGACTAGATATATATTTCATATGAACCATTCCAAAGATCGTTTGTCAATTAATTTATAAATAATAGCTACAAATGACAATTCGCTACCAAGAGCCACATTAGATTTAAAATAAATTCGACACTTCTTACTTCTGATTATCATTACATGTTTATGAATGTTACCTGGCTAACTACCGCAACCGCTTATGAGAACTCCATATGATACCTGTCATGTTCCTAACTGTAGTTCCATAAGTCATATCCCAACTTTGAAATATTTTCTGCCAAGTTTTTTATTGTTATATTTCTTAATAGAATACATGTTGAGCTGACATGTACATGCGTTGTATTATATCATCTTTATGCCAATTGAATTTACCAATTATTTGAATCGCCTTTCAACATTTTCCACCAGACCCATCACAGTCGTTGTTGTTATGCGTATTTGAGTCTAGCAGTTAGACTGTCTAATGATAAGATTAACGCCAAGTAAACAAATATTTCTGGATCGCAATTTGTAAATAATTAGATAGCTCGAAACCGTTAATGCCACAAACTCTTGATATTTCCGAGTCACGTAACACAGCAATACACATTACCGCTAGATAATCATTAAGGATGACTTAGCAATCACGTAATGTGATTGATAAAGCCGGTGAGACTAACAATATAAACTCCTTTGACAAACTTACTTTTGATTATCATTGAATAGTGTTTTCCAATAGCTATCTCTATCCATTATCGATGGTTCAGGTATTTTTCCTTATCAGTTGCTCATTTAGTAAACATCTTAGAACTTTGTCAGTCCACTGAAGAGTTTAGTGACACAAATATTCATGCAAATCACCAGTATAAGTAGTCGAGCAAATCTGAAAAACGAAGACATTTCTGTCAAATTCACTCCAACACTGACAAAGGGTCATACAGATATCACAGACATGAGTTGAACGTTTCACTCCCCTTGATTACAACTTGTACTCTCCACGATGGTCACATGAACAGCACTTACTATTTATTATCCTGCAAAAACTTATTTTACCGAAAGTTTATGTGTCACTTCTTTTTCGCTTTTTACGGATCGCCACATTTTAAATCCATCTACATAGGTCAGTGCCACCGGGCTAACTTTATCTAACCGAGTGCAGAAATGGAAATAAGATTGTTCTTTATAGACCTCTTTCGCGTTTACTTTTTAATATTTCTACACGGACCCAGATCCTTGGAAATGTCCGATGGGTGATAGCCTAGCCGCCCGTCAGTACTAATATTAGTCGTTTCGATGATTTGTAGATTTGTATATCTCCTAGTTTGAGTGAGTGAGTTTTGTCTCATGACGGTTGTGTTTACAGATAAAAAATTATCTAACTCAAGTTGAAGGATTCCTGAAAACTACACAAAGAGATTTGAAATTTTTGGATGATTGAAAGAAGTATTAAAAATGATCAAGTCACAGTTCATTGTAGACACTTATTAGTCATGATGCGTACGGCTTAATAAAGAATCTGGTTTTTCAAGAGAAACCAATTTCACTGGTATATGGGTTTCATAAGAAAATAATACCTGGTAATTTTCGGTACTTCATCTCACGGTGTAGACATAAATCAACATTACATAGGTTAGTGAGAAAGAATGATCAGAAATTTGGAGACCTCATATTTGAAATGCGAAACAGGACGTGAAGTGAGATTTTGAGGACCATTTTAATGTCCAATATCATGGTAAGTTGGTTACTGGTATATATATTATGAATTCCAAAAATGAATTAAGGAACCTAAAGGTTGATTCCAAGAATTTAATACATTTATGATACATTAATTAGTCCTCGCGATGGATCAAAGTCCCAAAATCATACGATTTTGCACTTATGACATATTCTCGTGCAAATATCAGAAACGCTTCAGCAAATAATCGCAAACCAGTTAACAAGGACGCTCATAGGGACAGTAAAAACGTCAGGCCGTTTCGCTTTAACGGCCTTAAACAGCCTAGCATGAAGCGACCACTCCTTATTTCAAATGCTGTGAGTTTGTTGGTTGTGCGTTAGGTTGCATGAATTGTAAGTGCTCACATATTTAAGTAGTCTTTGGTTGAAGTAATATCACAAAATAATTGCGAACAACACCAATCGCGTTTTCTCTACCTTTTAGTGTACAAGTCGGCTCCATTGTTCCTTCATAACTTGGTCTGAGATGTCAATTGTTTTACTGAACCTCATCGTCTTTGTTTAAAAGTTGATAAGGTCTGGAAAACAGTTCAAGAAGAATAACTTAACAGTTATAGATACGCAAAGTTTGTGTGAGACGCTGTTTTACTAAAGGATTAAAAATATATTTTTAAATAACCGATAAGTTTTAAATGTTAGCAATACTTTCTTCAGTTAGTAAAGTATTATTGCGATGAACATCTTTTTAACCATTACCCAGTGCTGTTTGTAAAGCTTTATATTTAGGAGATATTTTAATCGACGGAAGGGAAGTGTTTTAACACATAACACTGAACAGGCGTTTTGGAAGCTGGACTGAATTTGAAAGTGTGCTGAATGAATTCCAAAAAGTGGGAATGAATAATTTTATCACGTCTCAGACTAACCACGCACAGTAAATTCATGCCGAAGGTAAATTAGTGGATGGCATGAGATGAAGATACATATGTGTGATGTTTCAGTGAACAATTGATCGTAAACACAAACCTCAAGGTCTTACAGTGAAAAGAAAACAGTGATAACTTTAACTAACGTGTGACGTTTGAGGTCTCAGTTTCTAAAATGACGATCAGTGTTATGTGTAACATTGGACTGTCGGGAATTTGTCGTAAAACCGTTTAAAAAGCTTTGCAATCATTCTTGTAACATCCACGGATGGTTCGTGGTTCATGAAGCACTACATTGTCTTCAGATGATAAAGAAAATATTTGGTCAGTGATTCTGCCTTCACTGTCAATAGATGGAGTACTAGAAAGTGTTAAGGACCGAACTGGTAAGTGGGTCGCTGCTACTGATGTGGGGACTGTGAAAGCTCGACTCTCCACATGTGAATGTATATAAGTATATTTCAGGCTGTTCCATAATAATAACAATTTCATTCTCCAGGTGAAGCGAACAGTGTGTACATATCTAGCGGAGCCAAAAAATACACAAACAAAAATTGTTGAGGAATATTGTGAGCGCTTCACGATGTCAGCGGAGAGAAAAGTCGACAATTTTTATTTATGAACCACTAATAATTGGGTAAGGCTTCAGTTTCTCTAACGCTTATCTTTTGTGAGTCTTCTT